TATTCCCTCAGTAAACATTGTAAACATGAGTTTATGGTCTCAGTCTCTAGTTTAAACTCTTCTTCAACACATCATGATGTTCATTTAGTGACTGATGGTCCATGTAGAGTCAAACAGACCATAAAGCAGAGGACGCTTTAGGGCGGGGCTGCACGCTGATTGACAGGTCTTCACGATGTTCCATGTAAGCATGTTTATACGTATGTTCCAGTGACGAACATCGACGTGCTGTGACATGTGACGTGTTTCCTCCTCCACAGACTCAGGCCGGAGAAGGAAAAGTCTACAAGTGTTTGTTCAATCACAAGTTCGAGGAGGCCATGTCAGAGAAGGTACGTGTTCTGGTAGGTGTCCTGTGGGCGAGCTTCGTTTTCCGTCTCCTAACCCCGCCCCCCCCCTCCGCCCCCTCCATCAGTGCCGCGACGCTCTGACCACCCGTCAGAAGCTCATCTCCCAGGACTACAGAGTCAGTTACTCGCTGGCCAAAGCCTGCAAGACGGACCTGAGGAAGCAGCGCTGCAGCCTGGACACCAACCTGCCGCGCGCCCGCGAGGCCCGGCTGTCCTACCTGCTGCTGTGCCTGGAGGCCGCCGTGCACCGCGGTGAGTCTGGAGGGGGGGGGGGGGCGGGACTTAGAACCCCCTTAAAAATCGACTGTCTTTCTCTTATTGGGGCTTCTATCGGCTTGCTTTTCATTACTTTGGCGGAAGTCGAGGGATGTGACGCCTTTAGTTTATGATAATAATGAAACTTCAACATCTTTATCATCTGATTCACAACTTGGACCGTCTGTCCACTTCCGTGTTTGTCCTTCACAATAAAAGCCCAGACATCATTAAAGCGTAGATTGAAGCTCGTCGGGTTCCTCTGTCGCCTCCAGGTCGCCCGGTCAGCGGCGAGTGTCAGGGCGAGATGCTGGACTACAGGCGGATGCTGATGGAGGACTTCTCCCTGAGTCCGGAGATCGTGCTGCACTGCCGCGCGGAGATCGAGGGCCACTGCTCGGGCCTCCACCGCAAGGGCCGCACGCTGCACTGCCTGATGAGGATCGGACGCGGCGACCGCAGCGCCGCCGTGGACAGCGTCTGCCAGAGCGCCGTGAGTCGCCGTCGCGTCAAAGGAGCCTCGAAGGCTCTGAATAGTTCAATGGATGAACCTACTTGTCGTTGACTAAAACGTATCGCAGTCACACGGTCTCGTCTCCAATAGAACGTTTCATGTTCCTCTTGATGTTCTGCAGCTTCAGACTTTGATCCAATCCGTCGACCCCGGAGCCGACTACCGGATCGACCGGGCCCTCAACGAGGCCTGCGAGTCCGTCATCCAGACCGCCTGCAAGCACATCCACAACGGAGACCCCATGTGAGCCGCGCACGCACACACACACACACACACACACACACACACACACACACACACACACACACACATGTACGGAAATTATTATAAAAACATATTTAATCATAGTATTTAATTGAATTTAATCACAGGCAGGAACCCCGGGCCGAAAAGACACTCGTTCATTGTGTGTGTGTGTGTGTGTGTGTGTGTGTGTGCGTGTGTGCGTAGGATCCTGTCGTGCCTGATGGAGCACCTGTACACGGAGAAGATGGTGGAGGACTGTGAACACCGGCTGTTGGAGCTGCAGTATTTCATTTCCAGAGACTGGAAGTGAGTCTGAACCCACAAACATCTCAATTGTAATATTATTATTATTATATCATAATGTAACTATTGTATCTATGATACATATATAATATATAATATTTTATATTATATCTTATATTATATTATCTAATTAATATATATATATATATAATATATTATACTCGGCCTGTCGCAATATGCGATAAAATGACACACCGCACTCTCTGAAGTCCCGTGCAATAACCTTTGGTGCTGCGATATTCACTTTACATCTGAATGAACGTCACCAACATTTAAGTTGATCCTCTGTCCCTCCCTGTGGAAAGGGGGCGGGGCTTATGCAGCGCGCACACAGAGCGACACCCACAGGTGAAGAGAAGCAGTGAGCCCAACTACGCTAACTACGCTAACTACGCTAACGTCTCACCCAAAACAACAACCGTCCGCCCGTCTTTAACCTGAACTACGGTCGCTTCCTCCGGACCGCTCGTTCTCCTCTTTGGGCGCGAGGACCGCCGTCCCCGGACCGCCGTCCCCGGACCGCCGTCCCGCGGCTTCTTAGCGGCACCGGGCCGCTCCGTCGCCCTGCCGGCGGTCGAGGCCCCGCGTTAAACCCGACCGCGTCGCACCGAACCCGATGCTTCGCCCGCTCCGTGTCCCTTGCACTTTTTATTTTTTTTGTTTTATTTATATAGGATATATTTTTTCACATTCCGATTCTAATGTTTAACTATTCTGACAAATAAAACGTTCTTTGTTCTTTGAAATAGCGTACTTTTACTACTATGCTATTATATTGTCATTATTATTAGTATCAGTGGCATAAAATGGTCAAAAAAACCCAATTTTGCAATAATCTCACAACAAAAATGTGATATTGTGACAGCCCTATATTACACGTTTATTATATTTAAATATGTATTTATTATACCTCCTCATATATTATAAATATACTATATTATATATTAACATAGATAATATTCCACAGGACACAAAAAATCAAAGTACACTTACTAATTTAAGATGAATAATTTAACTGAAATATATTTAATACCTACTTACTTACTAAATGTGAATGTGATCTGGTCCCTTTGAGATCCGTAGAGAAGCAGACGGTTCAATAAAGGCTTTGCTCCCTCAGACTGGACCCCGTCCTGTACAGGAAGTGTCAGGGCGACGCCGCCCGGCTCTGCCACACGCACGGCTGGAACGAGACCAGCGAGCTGATGCCGCCGGGCGCCGTCTTCTCCTGCCTGTACCGCCACGCCTACCGCAGCGAGGAGCAGGGCCGCCGGGTACCAGCACACACACTCACTCAGCAGCTCTATCGGGGGGGGGCGGGGCCTCTCTCCGGTCCCACATCGGACAGGTGACCCCCACCGAGGGGCTAGAGGTGGTGTTTTTTTATTAAAGGTTGTGTAGAAGCTGCTCACGGAGTGAAGAGCTACATTAGCTCTCCAAATGAATTAACACACACAAATACTGATTTATAATAAATGATGATGATCACGATGATGTCGTTGTCGCGGTTGAACAGAGGGATCAATAAAGCAGCTTACTGTTTATATCTGAGATAACTGAGTGATGTCATCAGCTCAAATGAGTTCATCACTGATGTTTATTGGTGAAGATTCATGTTGTGTGTGTGTGTGTGTGTGTGTGCGCGTGCAGTTATCTCGGGACTGTAAGGTAGAGGTTCAGAGGATTCTCCACCAGAGGGCGCTGGATGTGAAGTTGGACCCAAAGCTGCAGAAACTCTGCATGACCGACCTCGGGAAGTGGTGCAGCGAGAAGACGGATGCTGGACAGGTGAGACGGATGCTACATGATGCTACATGATGCTGCGTGATGCTACATGATGCTCCTGATATTTGATGCAACCAGGAAGTCAAAGCTTGTAGTGACCAGCAGGGGGCGACTCCTCTGCTCCCATAGACGTCTATGAGGAAATGACTCTACTTCTCTGTAGTGACCAGCAGGGGGCGACTCCTCTGCTCCCATAGACGTCTATGAGGAAATGACTCTACTTCTCTCTTGATTTATTCCCTCAGTAAACGTTGTAAACATGAGTTTATGGTCTCAGTCTCTAGTTTAAAGTCTTCAATACAACATGATGTTCATTTGTAAATATAACAGACCATAAAGCAGGTGATGCTTTAGGGCGGGGCTACACGCTGATTGACAGGCGTTGTCCTTACTTTAACCCGCTCACAAAATAAGAAGGAAACTCCGTTAAAAAGAAAGTAAAACTTGAAGTAATTTAATGAGGCTTAAAAGGAAAGTTCTTTTAAACCATTTAACTATGAGTGGTGTGGACTTCACTGACGGTTCCCTGTGTGTTCAGGAGCTCGAGTGTCTCCAGGATCACCTGGAGGACCTGGTCTCCGCCTGCAGGGAGGTTGTGGGCAACCTGACCGAGCTGGAGTCAGAGGTCACTGATGTTACAGACGACTGTCTTTGTCTCACCTGTCGAGCTTCCTGCTGAACCTCCTGTCCTCTGCGCTCTGCAGGATATCCAGATCGACGCTCTGCTCATCCGAGCCTGTGAAGCCGTCACTCAGGCCCACTGCCATGTGAGTAGTGACGTGAATAACTACATGCGGAGTCTACAATATGAAATACAGGGAAACATTTATTGTATTATTATTTATATGTATTTATGCTTTTTAGGTAAAGGTTTAAATGATGTAAATCTGCAGGGGAGATGTGATTGTGTCACTGGTTCAAACAGCCAATGAGAGAAGCAGATGTTGCATCATTCTAAACGTCTCAATGTGATTTCAAATTGTCAAGTGTCTCAAGGTTCAAACTGCAGCTCCCCACTTGAAAGGGCAACTTGCTAAGAAGTGTAGACTGGATTCCACTCAATGACCAAGATTCGGACTGCTTTGCTTTCTTGCTTTTTTATTTTTAAAATGGTCCAGGTGAAAAAACCTTGAAATACAAACACGAATGGAAGGTCAAAGAAATATAACCCAAGAAACCAATTCACATACCCAACATCACATACGTCATTTACAATCTACTGGAAATGAACCTCAAAATAAGTAGAAAGAAAACCCAAATTTAAAGTATCTCAAAACCAAATTAAATACATTTTTAAACACTATTTAATGACGATTTTAACCTTATAAACTTTAGCAGCGTTTAACTCCGGTGAATACACACAAATCAATTTTTATCCAATTACTTTTAGCTCAAATACTTTTTAAAACACACATTTCATTAAATATATAACATTTGATCTCCTTCTTCAGTCTTTGTCAGCTTTATTCCTGCAGTCTCCTCTTTCCGAGCGCTTCAATGTCGCTTTCTCACACTGCTCGCTCTCCACCGTCCTGTGAGTGAGTGAGTGGCTCCAACCCGCCTGATCTCCAGATCATCTCCACCCGGTGCATTCAAACCTCCGCCTCCAGCCTGGCAGACACACCTACACCTGCCTCCCCGCCAGAGAGGGGCTTTAATTATTGCTTTATCTGCGTGTGTGTGTGCGTGTGTGTGTGTGTGTGTGTGTGTGTGTGCGTGTGTGTGTGTAGGACGTAGCAGACATCCAGATCGATACCGGGGACCTGATGGAGTGTTTGGTTCAGAACAAACACCAGAAGGAGATGAACGACAAGTGTTCGGTCGGCGTCACGCACTTCCAGCTGGTCGGTTACCGTGACAACGTCCCTCACCTTTCAGCTACTTGTGCTGCTCTCAATTGCTCGTTGTGGTCTCACATGTAACGGGAGTCATTGTCGCCGCGCGTTTCCTTCAATTTAACAGTTAGAATCATTCAGGACGAGAGAGAGAAATTTGAGAATTTTGTGACAATAAACTTTCAGGTCCAGATGAAGGACTTCCGCTTCTCCTACAAGTTCAAGATGGCCTGCAAGGAGGACGTTCTCCGTCTGTGCCCAAACATCAAGAAAAAGTGAGTTTGATTGACAGGCGGCGTGAAGTCAGCGCGAGGAGCTCCTCGGGACGCGGCGGTTGGTCACATCTCATCGTCGATGTGGTTATTGATCCCGCAGGGTGGACGTGGTCATCTGCCTCAGCACCACGGTGAAGAACGACACGCTGCAGGAGGTCAGAGAGCAGCGCGTCTCACTGAAGTGCCGTAAACAGCTGCGGGTGGAGGAGCTGGAGATGGTACCACGCGCACACACACGCACACACACACACACACACACACACACACAACACAGCATGATGTTCATTTATTAAATTATGCCCCCCCCCCCCCGGGGCGGAGACCTCCCGGTTGGAGCCAAAGTTTACCAATCCTGGAAATGCCGAATCTTTCCGGTGTGCGCCAAACTGGGCTTTCGCCACACACCCCGGTGGAGAGAAACATCTGGAGAGGCGAGGCCTCCTGCCGATGTTGGTGGTGTTAAACTCCTCCTGCTCTTTGTCCCCCCCCCTCCTCTTCCTCTTCCTACTCCTTTACTCCTGATCAACCTCCTCCTCTTCGTCCTTTTGTCCCTCCACCTTCTCTTCTTCCCCACCCCCAGATGATCGAGTGTCTGAAGGAGCAGAAGAAGCAGCTCAGCCAGCGCTGCCATCAGAGGATCTTCAGGCTTCAGGAGGTGGAGATGACCGACCCCGAGCTCGACTACCAGCTGATGAGAGTCTGCAAGCAGATGATCAAGGTGTGTGGGGGGCAAACCGATAAAAGCTGGTTGATAGCATCATCCCGGGGCTTCAATGTGAGGAACGCAGTGAGAGTGTAGAGCAGCAGGACGTCAGGAGCTCTGAATGGTCATGTGACCCCCTGAGGCCGCCTGGGTTGTTGACGGAATCGTCTCCTGCAGCGTTTCTGCACCGACGCCGACGCCAGGAGCCTCCTGCAGTGCCTGAAGCAGAACAAGAACAGCGAGCTGATGGACCCAAAGTGCAAGCAGATGATCACCAAGAGGCAGATCACCCAGAACACGGGTCAGTAGAGGAGGACCGTTTCCTCCTCTTCCTCCTTTGCCCTTCCCCCGTTCTTCCTCCTCCTCCTCATCCTCCTCCTCCTCCTCCAGACTACAGGTTGAACCCAGTGTTGAGGAAAGCGTGTCGAGCCGACATCCCAAAGTTCTGCCAGTCGATCCTGAACAAAGTGACGGAGGAGAGTGAGCTGGAGGGTCAGGTGATCGGCTGCCTGAAGCTCAAGTACGCCGACCAGGTGAGTCCCACCTCCGTCACCACCGCCCTGCTCAAACCTCCGCCCACTGTCTAGAATAGAAAGCTTTGTCTCGTCCGCCGATGGTCCGGTTCTGCTCCCTCCTTCGGTCCAGAGGTTGTCTCCAGACTGCGAGGACCAGATCAGAGTGATCCTCCAGGAGTCGGCGCTGGATTACAGACTAGACCCTCAGCTGCAGGTGCACTGCACAGATGAGGTACACACACACACACACACACACGCACACACACACGCTGCCACTCCTGTTTCTTTTTTTTCTTCATCATCCTCCTCTCCTCTATAATTTTCACTTTCCTCTGCTCTCCTCCGTCCTCCTGCAGATCTCCAGGTTGTGTGCGGAGGAGGCGGCGGCTCAGGAGCAGACCGGTCAGGTGGAGGAATGTCTGAAAGTCAACCTGCTGAAAATCAAACAGGAAGCCTGTAAAAAGGTCCAAACATCCTCCAGTTCACAACCGTTTACTCACAAGTCCGTTGACTTTTCGTGATAACTTTAATAAACCTCGTCCCGTCTCAGGAGGTCCTGAACATGCTGAAGGAGAGCAAGGCGGACATCTTTGTGGACCCGGTGCTGCACACGGCGTGCGCTCTGGACCTCAAGCACCACTGCGCCGCCATCACGCCGGGCAGAGGAAGACGTGGGTGACCTCTCACAAGATGCCGCTCCGCCACGTTTGTTTGTTTGCTTTAAACGTGTCGCTCCGTCTGTCCGACAGAGATGTCGTGTCTGATGGAGGCGCTGCAGGACAAGAGGGTTCGTCTGCAGCCGGAGTGCAAGAAAAGACTTCAAGACCGCATCGACATGTGGAGCTACGCCGCAAAGGTGAAGCCCGAGGAGGAGGAGGAGGAGGAGGAGGCTTCCTCTTAAAAACAGCTGGGGTTGTTTAACTCAGTTAGTAAATCGTATGGAAACATTAATATGAAATAATTCTTCATCTGTCCCACAATGGCAGCTTGAAGTTGCATTCTCTGTAGTGACCAGCAGGGGGCGACTCCTCTGCTCCCATAGACGTCTATGAGGAAATGACTCTACTTCTCTGTAGTGACCAGCAGGGGGCGACTCCTCTGCTCCCATAGACGTCTATGAGGAAATGACTCTACTTCTCTGTAGTGACCAGCAGGGGGCGACTCCTCTGCTCCCATAGACGTCTATGAGGAAATGACTCTACTTCTCTGTAGTGACCAGCAGGGGGCGACTCCTCTGCTCCCATAGACGTCTATGAGGAAATGACTCTACTTCTCTGTAGTGACCAGCAGGGGGCGACTCCTCTGCTCCCATAGACGTCTATGAGGAAATGACTCTACTTCTCTGTAGTGACCAGCAGGGGGCGACTCCTCTGCTCCCATAGACGTCTATGAGGAAATGACTCTACTTCTCTGTAGTGACCAGCAGGAGGCGACTCCTCTGCTCCCATAGACGTCTATGAGGAAATGACTCTACTTCTCTGTAGTGACCAGCAGGGGGCGACTCCTCTGCTCCCATAGACGTCTATGAGGAAATGACTCTACTTCTTATTACCGACATGCAAGCATGAATTCATGGCCTCAGTCTCTTCAACACATCATGATGTTCATTTAGTGAATTTACGGACCATTTAGAGTCAAACAGACCACAAAGCAGGGGACGCTTTAGGGCGGGGCTACACACTGATTGACAGGTCTCCATCACTCTTCCAAATAAGTTCCGCTTTGTTCACTGGTCGCCTCAAAGCCTCATTCCACAAACCCAACGACAACGCGTCCGCCCCCAGTCGTCATGACAACCTGTGCTTTCCGTCCCGCAGGTGGCGCCGGCGGAGGGCTTCTCGGACCTGGCCGTGCAGGTGATGACGTCGCCGTCCAAGAACTACATCCTGCTGATGATCGCGCTGAGCGTGTGCGTGCTCTTCCTGGTGGGGCTGCTGTGCGGTCGCATCACCAAGCAAGTGACGAGAGAACTGAAGGACCGGTAGAAGACGAGAGACGTGACTCCTCCCACCTCGCTCTGACTCCTCCCCCGTCCTTCTCTGCAAACCGGCTGTCCTGCACAGCGCCAACGCCAGCGACCACATCTGGAACTCCGCAATTTATTCTACCGCAGCTGAAAATTTGCATCAAATGCAAAACAGAAAAAATAAAACAAAAATCCTCATTGGGGCGCAAACTGATCTTTTTATTTGAAATGAGTGTTTTTTCCTTCCGAAGGATGTTTTGAGCCGTTGGATTGGATCTTTTGAGCGCTGTTCATGAGACTGAGGTCATGTTTTTTCCCGTGTTCCTGCCTGATATTTAACTGAAGACTGGAGCATGAAGAGCAACAGGAAGTCGCCGAGGGAAACTCAAACTTTCGGGGTTTATATCTTTGTGACGTGCTTGTTAAACCTTTTTTTTTTTTTTCCTCGTCGATCACAAAGTCCCATCCTCGTTCCAGCCGTCCACGCCCCCCCCCGACATAATCCGTCATGTGACAGAAACTCTTACATCCAAACCGCTGGTTTTCTCTGTGTAAGTTATTTTATTTTGAAGTGCTGAAGGTCATGCTGTTGCTAACAGTGTTAGCTTGTGAAGTTTCATTCCCCCGACTAAAACTCAAAAAGGGCTCTTACACTCCCGCATGAGCACAAATGGTGAATCAACTAAATGAATCAAAACCAGTCTGAAATTAGCATATTTTAATTTTGAAAGTTTTGTCTACACAGAAAGAGAGAAAACACCACAACACAACTGCATGCTGGGTACGAGCGATACGGGAGGAACGACGAGAGGAGCTGTGTCTGTTTGGAGGGTTTTTGGCCACATCAGCCACGGCAACAAGCTAACAAGCTAACTCGCCGGCCTGTTGCGAGCAAGTTGGCCAGCGAGCGGCGAACAGCTGTTCGGGTAGCCTCGGTCCTTTCCGGGATCAATTAATTAATTACTTGAAAAGGCAATACCGTGATATACCGCCAGAATCGTTAATACCGTGCAGCCTCACTGTTTACTTTGGACAGTCATGCTAGTGCTTTCCAGTGCTATGCTAAGCTAAGCTAAGCTAATGGCGTCCTTGACACCAGCTGCTGCCTCCAAAAATAAATGTAAAACGGCTGGAAACAGTTTGGGCTGCAGTTCTTTGGCGTCATGGTCTGCAATCAGATATATATGTCACATACATGTCATACATTCAATTAAACAGATGTGACCCACGTGAGCAGAAACATCTGTACTGGGTGACTTTAACCAGGCCAAACAGACTTTACAGTTACATTACTTTGCTGTTAGAAAAGCGCCACAAATAGTTAAATCAAGGAACAAAGGAAAGTCACAAAGAATAAAACCTGGATACAAGATGTTTGTTTTTTGCGTTATTTGACGGACTTTTGACATAAGCATGTTTTTTCTCTTGCAGGCAAATTACTTGATAGTAAAGAAGTGCCAACATTGTTATTTTTTGCTTGAATATTTAATTTTGCACTTTAACCCGTGTCACATCCGCGTTGTGGTGACACCACACGGATCCCCGTCTTCGTTTGTAAAAAAAAAAGAAACCCCAGCTTTTGTTTTTATTAAACATTTCACAGCTTTTTAGTTAAAATAATATGTGAATGACTTAAAACTTGAGTTAAACAGATGAAAAATGTAAATAAACCTGATGTTTTCTGCTCATTTACAAACGTTAACGGAACTGAATTATTGGTGAAAATCTGAGAGCTGACAGGAAACAAAGATGGCCGCCTTCATTAACAGTAGTGCGCTTTTCTTTTTAAATTATCATGTGAAACGACGACGTAAGAGATTTATCATTGTGAAGTTTGATTTTGCTGTACAGATATAAATTTGTTAATTTAATAAAACTGTCTGCTGATTTTTTGTATCTTTGACTCTTGAGTTGTTTGATGTTCTGCAGGCGTAAAGTAACTAAATACCATCAAGTACAACAATGAGGTACTTTTTAAAACAGCTAAATAACGTAAAACTTTTGGCTCTTGACAATAGTTACATGGTAGGTTCTGTAAAAAACTTTAAATCAGTAAATATGTCATATTAATAATTAAAATCAGATCAGTAACGGATTAAGACAATACTCTTTTTAAACCGCTCGGCACCCACCAGCTGCCCCATTAAAATGATTAACTCATTAATGGGTCAATAATTATAACATAATATTGTGAACTGTGCCATTCTGCCCGCTGTGCACTATTGAAGTCTGTTACGTGAACATATGAATGCAGGACTTTTACTTATTAGAGTATTTCTAGCCTGTACTACTACTTATACACGAGTGGAGTTCTGAGTTCTTCCTCCGTCAGAAACTAGTTTTACAGGTAAGGAAATTTAAAGCGATTAGTTATGTTTAACCACCAAGTGGTGCTGCAGTCACTAAAGTGACCAGACCTCGAACTGTGGGTGTGGCCTCAACACACATTCTTTTTGGCGAATAAATGTACTGATTTACCATTAGAACAACTTGATTTTGGGCTACACAAAATAAATTGAATTTAATTGAACCTTGACTCTTTTTCCGACATTTGACATAAATTTAGACGTTTTTCACATATTTTTCAACCTAACATATACATTGACTTTTTTTTCAAAAATATTTTGGTCTAATATTTGGACTGGTTTTTAACTTTCTTTACCTTTTTTACCATATTTTTCAACCCAAAACTTTTTAGATGTAATTTTGACATTTCTTCATTCTTCATGATATGATGATATTTTTCAGCATAACATAACTTTTTTCGACATAACCGTTTTGGGCTGTCATTTCACTATTTTTTCAAATCATTTTTTTCCATGGGATTTGACCTAAAGATTTTTTTTTCCCAAAATATTTGACTTGATATTTTCCATATCAATTAGACTAATTTTCTGAAAATTTTTATGACATATGATCCAATATTTTTTTACTCGTTTTAAAAATATTTTAAGACCTAACCTTTTTTTATTCATCTTTTTTTTGGCCTAAAACTTGTTTAAAAAACAAACAAACATTTTTCAACATAACATATGTGGACTGTTTCTTTCAAAAGATGTTTTGACCCAACCTTTTTATCTCAAATCTTTCGTACCGAACCAAACATTCGACTTAATGTTTTCAGACTTTTTTCAACCAAACAGTTCAAACTTTATTTTCAAAAAACTTTATTCTCCTGATTTCCAAAACATATTTAGACTTTTCTTATAATTTTTTTTTGAACTTTAGACTTTTTTTTCCCCACAATATTTTTTCTACCTAAAATGTTTGTGACTTCTCAAAACATTTTCCGTGGACAAAAGACAAACCTCCGGGTAAAGAAAGCTTTTTATTGTTGCTTCCCAATTTGTTCTGTACACGTAATGACGTCTTAAAGAAAAAGAAAGAATAAAGACGCAGCCTTGAAGCGTTTTATAACTAAATCTCTTATTAATGGCTGGTTAGGAGTTGGAAGAGTTTCCCCCAAATAAAAAACAGGGAAACAAACCCCACGTCGGGGAAGGTGTCGTAACATATTATTCATTATTCCACATGATTGAAGTGCTTTGTGATCGCGGACTAAACGAAAACTACAAAACCACCCAAATCTAAAAGAGTCAGCTTCACTCTCTCCGCCCTGAAATGAAGAAAGATTCACTAAATTAAAGAGCAGAATAAATTAGGTAAGTAAAAATGTTGACCGTAAAAATGCTATTCTTTAACAAAAAGAAACAGGGTAGCGACAGTTTACGTGTCAATCAACGTTGACGTGATACAAACGTACAGGTAACACATAAAAACATCCCAGATAAGTGAAGCATAACAATGTTGAAGTGAATGAGCCAATCAAAAGTCTTTAGTCTGGTTCCTACTGGTTCCTACTGGTTGCTGCTGGTTGCTACTGGGAGCTGTGGTTCCTCTCGGACACTTAAGGCACCGCCAGTGTTTGTTTCACCTCTTTTGATCAGAGCTGCTGAGCAGCTTCCAGCTGCAGTTCCTCAAACGGTCAAAGGCTGGAAAAAGTGTTCTACTAAAATCATATTTTCCCGCCCACACAATAAGTTGATTTTATTTAATGTTGAGAATACTAAGACTTTAAAAAAAATATAGTTTTAGTAGCAGAACATTTGTAGCATAAACAGCTAAATGCTTCCTTGATGTTGTTTACATTCTGATTATCAAGAGCAGACTTCTCAGCGCCGTTAGTTAGCTGTCAGCTAGTTAGTTAAGCTTGACTAGAAGGCGAGCCGCTACCGAAGACAGTTGAGGTTAAGAATTAACATACAATGGTTAACTTGGCTTTTTTAATCTTTTACAAACAACCTGGTGACTGACCAGTCGCTAAGTCCCGCCCCCAGACGCAGAGTGGTCAATCACAGCGTAGCATCAGCCGGCTCTGACTAGAAGCTGGGGGCGGGGCATAGAGGAGGGTCAATCAGGTGATTCTTGCCAAAAAAACGCATCCAGGTAGTTTCAACGCACTTTGATACTTTGACTCTTCAACAAGGAACTAAATACTTTCTAAAACAGTCGGTAACTGTAGAGGTGCTCGTGTAACATGAAAATGAAGAAAAAAAATGAAAAGGACTTTCAATTCCAAAAGTCTTCCTGTCTTTAAGCTAAGCTAACAGGCTGGATTCTTACCAGCAACCAAAGCAAGCGGATTCACCGAAACTGTCAAAGCCATGTGTTTGATTGACAGATGTTTCAGCCAATCACAGTCCGCCCTGTTGAACGCCATCAACCAGGTTTTCTCCTTTTTGCGTTCATGTGGATTTTGTGACAAGTGAAAAGGGAAACCACGGCGTCCCGTGTTTCCCTACGGCGTCGTGCTCGGCGGGACGCTGGACTCCTCGGTTACAGGAAACGACCTTTTATCCACAAAAAACAAAAACAACGTGGCCGTTTGTCCAGAAACAAACTGAGTCCGTTAAACAAACCGTTGGGCGTCACCGTCTGCATGTCGGCGCTAAAAGCTTTTGATTGGTCCTGGCGTCTCGGGTGTAGCTGGGCGACCGCAGAGGGGGGGGCGGGGCATCAGGAGGAGACGGCCTGGACGTAGTTGGCGGGGTAGAGGCCGACCTGGCCGCCGCTCAGCTGACCTCTACACCAGCCCTGCTCGTCCTCCTCGCTCATCTTCAGCAGCTCCTCGCCTGCAGGGGCGACGGTTAATAAGAAAGATTCATGAATCAACACAATCGAACACTCAGTTTATCCACAAAAATAACAAACATTTTAACCACATTTTCATAAAAAAGGTATCGACCTTTTCTTAAGTTCTAAGCACACAAGAGAAAACGTATCATGTGAGATGATTATTTCTCGCTGGCACTCGGGGCTTCCGTGCAATGGACCTGCGCTTTGTGATTTAATATGTACTATTTGGTAGAACTGGATTATAAGACTCCAATGTAGAAAAATACTCCATCATCTAATAAAAGTGGAATTACTTTTTAAATATCGGAAGACAGAAACTGTTTAACATTCGTATAAATGATTTCATTTGAGAGATAATTTCCACTGTAGAGAAAAACAAATTAGTAAAATTCTTAATGTCAAAAAGGTAAATACATCAAAACAACAAGTTCATTGGTCATTTAAAGTCTCGAATACATTTTATTATTTGTATTTATTGACTCACCTGACCGACGAGGTTCACTCATTATATTAGTTTGTCATTCTCGATAAAACATCCAGTGGAGGAGGAGGATAAAATCACCTGAGTGGTTTTATTTCCAACAAGAATACCAGAGGAAGAATTTAAGTCAAAATGTTTACAATCCAGCAGCAGGTTGTTCTTTCAAAATAAAAGCATCTGACTTTTTGCTCTTAAAATGCTTTCATCTCCAAAGCGAACGGACGACGTGAAGCTGCTGAATCCGTCATGAAGTTAAACAACAATCAGCCAAGTCACAGAAATACAGCAGTTTTATGTCTTAGAAGAGATTTATTCTCTGTTGAAAGAAGTGAAATTAGTTTTAGTTGTTTCATCCAAACAGATGAACCGAAGCTGCAACGTTTCTATTTGTGTACTTGACAAAAAGCCGAAATGTTTATGTGTGTGTGAACATGTGTGTGTGTGTGTGTGTGTGTTGAAAAGAGGCATCAAAGAGGAACCAATAAAAGAAAATTCATCTTTTCAGACGTTCCCAGGCTCTGAAATATAAACTACAATATGTAGAAATATGTTCACAGTATTAACCATTAAATAAGTATTATTACACGTTTCATTTGATTTTACTTTTCAACTTGAATAAATATATATATATATTATTATGATGATTTGTTGATTTGTTTTAGTTAATTTAATTTAACATTTTTTATCTTATTATATTGTATATAATGTGTATCTTAATTCTATTTTCTTCCCTGTACATGCTGCTGTGACACCAACATTTCCCTCTGGATCAATAAAGTATCAGTCTATTTATCTATTAAACCTGCGACCTACATTCAGAGGTACTTTTCACTTCCATCTTTCCATCTAAGACCCATGATCACCATTTAATTATGATTAATTACAGGATATAAAGTTATTAAAATAACATTTAGTTTTTATTGTCTTCATTGTGGGTTTTGCAGATTTTAATGAAACGGACAGAATTGATAAAAACCGCCCCCCCCACCCCGAGTATCAGTGGGGTTACCTGCTTTAAAGCTGAGCTCGTCGGCCTCCTGGCCCGTGTAGTCGTAGAGCGCTCGGACTCGCACCCCCTCTACCCGAGTCTCCTCCCCCTCCTCGCGCTCCTCCTCCATCACGCCGTTCACCGCCTTGGGAGGAGACTCCTCGTCGGACCAGTCTGACGAGGAGTCCTTCCCCCTGACAGCCACACGCACAGACTTGACTCAGGGGGCCGTGAACGCATCGCGAGTCAGAGACATTGTGTTCAGCAGAGAAACATTTCCACCAATAAAATGTGCCGATAGTTTGATCCACACAACAAAACCACGCGTTTCATTTATTCTGCACTGTTTTTACACACACACACACACACACGCACACACACACACACACACACACACACAAACTACTAATTAGAAATTATAGGATATCAACTCCTCACCAACAGACTAAACTTCATGCTGCCTCCATATCTGTCTCAAACACCCCGTGTACCCCGAGTGTGTGTGTGTGTGTGTGTGTGTGTGTGTGTGTGTGCGTGCGTGCGTGTCCTCCTACCTGCCGGTGTCCACGGTGATGGGGCTGGGCGGGGCGTCGCCTCCGCCCGAGGACACGATGTTGGTGAGGGTGACCACGTTGTCCTCCTCGCGTCCTCCTCGCTCCCTCCGGCTGATGGAGCGACTGGCCTCCGGAGACCACTCCTGCCGGGTGGAGATCGGACGTGCTCAGAGGGGACGGACGAGATCTACCGCGGGACACGACCGCACGCGAAGGAGGCGGCGGCGGCGTTCCTCCTCACCGTGTTTTATTTGGGTTTTTTTTAAAACGTCACGTTGCATATCGGTACTTTAAGTTACAGACGAGAGGCTAGAAAACAAAATAACACCTTTAACTCGCTGTGACCTCTGAGTGACGTGAAGTTATGAGTGAATCCAACCAGCAGAACGAGTCTGAGGAGAATATGGAGTGAACGTTTCTCTCCACGTGTTCCTCCGAGTGCTCGATTCCCTCGTCAAGGGTTTAATCACAAAGTCGGTTTCTACCCATCAGCCTGAAGCCAAGTGGTCACCTGACTGTCACCAGACCTCCAACCCGGCGAGCTGCAGAGCTCACGGTAACACACACACACACACACACACACGTATGGAGCAGTGTTTAACGGAGCGTAATAAAACAAACACACTTTTAGGTGTCAAGGGAGCAAAAAGAGAATCAACGGGCAGAAAAGTTAAAAACAAAAGTAAAATCCAGACGTCATGTATGACGAGTCTTACGTGTCAACTGCTTTGTATGATTTAAAATTCAACACACAGCCTAAAATAAAGTGGCGGGTAGGAATCCAGATGATTGCATGTCGATCATGAATTCAGATCTGCTCACTGGTAGAAATGAAGAAAAGGAAATCGATAAGTGATGCCGCGAAAAAAACATCTCAGGAGATGAAAGAACTTGATACAGAGTCTGCAGAGCTGCAGGGAAATGTCTGGACTACGTGTGTGTGTGTGTGTGTGTGTGTGTGCGTGCAGACATTCCTGAGCCCACTCACAGCTCTCAGTCACACAACAGGGCTTTCACCAGAAGCCTGTTTAGTATTCAGTCCCTTGAAACACACAGTGAAGGATTCCTGCAGCTCTGCTGAATGAAGTACAAATACTGTGTGTGTGTGTGTGTGCGTGAGTGTGTTTGCACGCACACACCTCAAACTGGGGCCAGTTCATGCTCATGCCCGGTCCGTGGGTGTTCCTCCACCATCGCAGGTCTTCAGCGTCATTGGCTGCTTGGATGGTCTGTCCCAGGTCCCGGTACAGGCCTTTGAACCTGAGGGACAAAAGGGCCGTCAATCATCATCATCATCATTCTCTTAGTTCTGTCATTAGAGATCGTAAATCACATTTTAACGTTGTTTTGTCAAACATTACTTAGACTTTAAAAAAACAGTTGGATGTAAAGATTCTAATGTTTGTTCCGTTGTCGGGAGAATAAATAGTTTAAGGAATTCAACTTGTGCTTAAGAACATTCTGCTAATAACAGGTTGTGTGTCCCCCCCCCCTCCACATTCCTACCATCACTTCCTCTTCACTGAGCAAAGCTTAGACATTACGTTTTTGTTCAATATTTGGACAAAGGTCCTGTTGGACTTCACCTGTGTGGTTACCGTGGTAACAGTAGCTTGTTTAAATAGAACGAGAGGGTCAATGGTCAACGCGGTTTTCTATTAACTCTTGTGTACACACACACGCGTTTGTTTAAACCTCCACATTTCTGCACAGCTCCGTGAATCACCCCATGGCGAGCGTGTGTGTGTGTGCGCGTGTGTCCTACCCGTCTTTGACGGACAGGTCGAGGTGTGTGTGGATGTCCAGCAGGACGTCTTTAAAGAAGCGCAGCCTCCTGCGCTCGGCGTCCTGGGTCAAGTCGAACACCTGCTCCATGTCCTCCATGTAACGCGGGTTACAGCGGTTCAGCTCATCCAGGGCCTTCGTGTAGCGCTGCTTCACCTGACGCACGCACACACACACACACGCACACGCACACACACACACACACAGTTCAGGAGGCACATGAGCATCTGTCAAACTGGATCCGGTGGTTCACTGCGAGGCGCGCGTGTCCTTCCTCACACTGGAACTCTAACGTACCTTCTTTATTTCTCTACTATCTAAATGTCCCTCTGGGACGCATTTCTTTTACGTTTTTGGCTCATCAGAAAGACACACGGGACAAAATATTCTCAGTAAAGGTGAACAGTGCGGCGGATCCTTTGAGGCTCTAAACTTCATCATTTCCTAAATTACCTGCAGCTTTCTGCCAGACAAGCCGGGTCGCGTCCTCAACACGCAGGTATGTTCCTCTGGAGTCCCTGACACGCCTCGAGCTGCTCTGCACTCCGTGTGTGTGCGTGCGTGTGTGTGTGTGCGTGTGTGTGTGCGCGCGCTGCATACTTTGTCGGCCTCCTCGCCGCAGCGCTCCGCTCGGGTTGTGAATTTGCGGACTTCCTCCTGAGACTTGGTCGGGTCGGCCTTGGCGTGCGTTTCCCTGGTAACCGCCGTCCACTCCTCCTTCCTGGCCTGATGGTAGCTCTTCTTAGTGGCGTCCACCTGGACGCACACAAACAAACGCACACTTTGATGGGATTTTCTTCCATTAGTCGTCTTCAGCGTTGTGAAAACACACGTTTCCTATTGACACATTGAGCAACACAAGGAGCCACATACTAATAGTTACCATACATCGCTATAGCTACGTCTTTAACTCGGGACATATTGTGATTTATTCCCATCATGCACTTCTGTGTGACATCAGTGACTTGAGTAGACTTGAACGGTGCGTTTAAGCTCTACTCGGTAGAAATGAGTATCGGTTTAATGAGACAAATATAACAAGTTGTGGGTGAAGACTTCTTCTTCCCGGCGCTCTAGAACCACGTTTGAGCAAAGACTGTTGCCGCCGTGCTCATGAGCCAACCGGGATCCTCCCCCCTGCGCCGGGCGGCGCTCACCTCTTTCAGCTTGCGGACCCAGGGCTTCTGCGCCTTGCGGAAGCCGTCGTCCGCGTCCTTGGTCTCCTTGAAGCCGCCCATCATCTGCTTGTGGAAGGCGTCCTTCTGCCAGCTGCGCACCTTCTCGCCGTCCTCGCACGCCAGCCGCTCGCGCAGCTCCAGGTGCAGCTCGCTGAGGCGGTCGGCCGCCTGCATGAAGGCGTGCCAGGCTTTCTCCAGCGTGCCGTACTGAGGCCCTGAGGGGGGGGGAAGGGCTCGTCGTTCGTGGGACGACAGTTTTGGAGGCCAACGTTTGTTCCAACGTCGTGAGGTCCTACTCACCTTTCTCCACCACGCCCCTCCACCTCCTGGCCCAGTCGCTCAGCTGCAGAGCGTAACCCTTCTCGATCTTCGCCCGGTCCTGGAAGCAGCTGACCATGTCGTTGCACAGCCGGTGGCCGTCGTCGATGCGCTTCACCGTCCGCTTGTAGTTCCCCGGCTGCAGAGGAACCAGCGACAGAAGGCAGACTGAGCCGCGGCGCCACAACCACACAAAAGAGCAGCGGGGCAGACGGACTGTGTGCGTGTTCCCTCTGTACCTCCCAGAAGCTGTCAGAGCTCCCCGGGTCGCTGAGGTCTCCGTTGGAAGACATTTTGGGGTCGGCCTTACAGCACAGAATGATGGCGGCTACAGAAGACACTGCAGAGAGGACAGACAGAGAGACAGACAGAGACCGTACGATGTCATTCACACTGCTGGTTTCAGCTTCACAAACATCCAGCAATCATTTGCATCACGGCACCTTTTACACGGTTGGGTTCCCCTCACGGGTTCTCACGCAAACTGACCGACAACATGAGAGCAGCAAAAACAACAAATAAATAGAATCAAACGGCCATAAAGTCCTGAAACTTTGTCCAGTTTTTAAATGAATGATCTTAAAGGTCTCATAATAAACACAACTGAATAAGCTACACGTCATTAGTTGTGTGTATAACTGTGTGTCTTCCCCCTTTAACAAAAGCGAATGGCAGAAAACAGAAAACAATTCAAATGAAACATACTTTCTCTGAATAAGGTCAGGGGTCAGAGTTTAAACATGGACCCCGGTCCCCTGGAGGACAGTGTCCCTCTGAGCGGCTTGTTTGCCTCGCAGGACACGATGCTGAAGAGGTAAACCAACGGGTCGGAGTGAGGACGCTTCCAGACATCCAAACCACGTAGTCTGTGATCACACCGCAATACCGCGAGCGCCTCAAAGGACCCTTACTGGCGGGAAACGCTATGGCTGCATCATAACTTTCCCCCCCCCCCCGGAGCGGTCTGCGCGACAACGAGGCGGCTGGTCGGGGATCCCGGTTCTTCGCTCCTCCTCGCGATGTTCCGCCTCGCTGTCAGCGACCAGCCGGCTCCCAGAACAACAGCAGTGGGCGTCGACGCGCTGAACTAGACGCGGTGTGAAACCGTCGCCTTGGTGAGCTCTGCAGGGAGCAACGCAATACACAGCCGGCCCAAAGGCAACGTGCACGTACAGATGTGACCCAACGGTCACACACACACACACACACACACACACGTAAAGAACATAATGTCGTGTCATGACATTATGTTCTGTACTGTACATGTGCTACATGCTAACCCCGCGCGGAGCTCCGTGTCAGAGCAGGTGTCCTCTCCATGTCTCCATGTGTGTGAGGAGACGGGTGACATTCTAGAATAGACAAAACGCACAACAACACAACTCTGCAGCTCAGGGCTCTCGTTCTCTCTCCAAACGGTGCAGACTTCACAGCACAGGTGCAGGTAATGCCCTGCGTGTGCGTGTCTGCGTGTGCGTGTCTGCGTATCAGCGGTCCGATCTGCCACCAGCATGCTGGAACATGAGTGAGAAAACTGACATCGGGGTGCGTGCGCACTGAGGGGAACCAAAAGGGAACGAGGAGGCGTTCTTGATGTTTAAGTGAGAAAGAGGCGCAGGCGTCCTCACGTGGGTCCATCGGACGGGACAGAGAGTCTCTCTGCTTCAGCATCAAACGCGATGGTTGTTTGCAAGGTTTAAAAAAAAAAAAAAATACCTGCATACCGCTAGTGTCACTACCACTTGGCACTGGGTCATTTCTGTAGAAACCTTACAGGCCGCCCTGACCCACCTCCCCTTCTACGCTCCTGTTGGTCATTATATATATATATATATATATATATATATATATATATATAGAGTCACGGTGAGACAGAAGGAGGACTCGGATTGTTGGGTTATGTAGAAGTAGGTCAGGAGGAGGCGGAGCCGCAGGAGGCGTGGTGGACAGAGAGGCGGGGCCAGACCTCATAAGCTCCGCTGCAGAAACTCACATTGATTAATCTGATTAATCTAGCGGCTCCTGCGTGTCATGCAGGTGGAGGCCCACAGCAGCATTAGTCCATAAGCTCCTCTGCTGCGTCTGCATTACACCTCCGGCTACAGCGTCATCTCCTTCAACAGCTGGCCGCAGATCAGCCGGAGAAACCGCTGTGTGCCAGAGCTGCTGCCGAGTGTCACTCCCCAAAAGACCGGTCAATGATGACTGCCACTACAGCCAGCAGCGTGACAGCCAGTAACGTGACAGCCAGCGGCGTTACTACAGCCAGCAGCGTTACTACAGCCAGCAGCGTTACTACAGCCAGCAGCGTTACTACAGCCAGCAGCGTTACAGCCAGCAGCAACGTAACAGCCAGCAGCGTTACAGCCAGCAGCAACGTAACAGCCAGCAGCAACGTAACAGCCAGCAGCGTTACAGCCAGCAGCAACGTAACAGCCAGCAGCAGCGTAACAGCCAGCAGCGTTACAGCCAGCAGCAACGTAACAGCCAGCAGCAGCGTAACAGCCAGCAGCAGCGTAACAGCCAGCAGCAGCGTAACAGCCAGCAGCAACGTAACAGCCAGCAGCGTTACAGCCAGCAGCAACGTAACAGCCAGCAGCAGCGTAACAGCCAGCAGCGTTACAGCCAGCAGCGTTACAGCCAGCAGCGTTACAGCCAGCAACGTTACAGCCAGCAACGTTACAGCCAGCAGCGTTACAGCCAGCAACGTAACAGCCAGCAGCGTTACAGCCAGCAACGTAACAGCCAGCAGCGTAACAGCCAGCAGCGTTACAGCCAGCAGCGTTACAGCCAGCAGCGTTACAGCCAGCAGCAACGTAACAGCCAGTAGCGTTACAGCCAGCAGCAACGTAACAGCCAGCAGCGTTACAGCCAGCAGCGTTACAGCCAGCAGCAACGTTACAGCCAGCAGCGTTACAGCCAGCAGCGTTACAGCCAGCAGCGTAACAGACAGTAGCGTTACAGCCAGTAACGTAACAGCCAGCAGCGTAACAGCCAGCAGCGTAACAGCCAGCAGCGTAACAACCAGTAAAGCACATTATGGGCTCTGAGGCTGGAAGTCACACGTTTGTAAATGCAGCTTCTTGGAGGCAATCGTTTATTCCTGGAGGAGCTTAAGCTGCTTTCATTGGCCTTGTTTCTGTGTCACAGGCTACCGCACTGTGTGTGCGTGTGTGTGCGTGTGTGTGCGCGTGTGCGCGTGTGTGTGGCTCAGCAGTAACTAAAGCTCCACTAAAATGCCAGTTAGCACCTGGAGGGAAGACTGAGGACACAAGTATTTAAGTCGCAACGAGCAGCTTCACAACCGCTAGAAGACGCACAATAATAATATAACGTTAGAAGTAGATCTGAGAGGTCAAATGTTCGTGTCTTCACAAAGACACAGATGAAAATATTCCAAATTAAGCAGCAGCTGTAGAAAATGTAGTAACAAAAAGGAGTTTGCCTCCGAAATGAGGTTTGCATTTAAAGAGTAAACCTGGAGCAGGTGAAGTACATTACAGTCAGTATGCCTGCAATCAGCAATTAGAGCAAAGCAGTAGTTCCTCTATTTAAAAACAGTAATGTTAAAGTAACACCGACCGATCCCAGCAGCTCATGTGGTGCTTTCCAGGTTCACCAACCGGAGCAGAAATGAACATCTAACAGTCACATTGTGGGGAAGCACTTAGAGGCCACAGGATCGATTCCCTGTTCACGTCTTAGTTTCTCGTCCACAGCAAAGAGAGGACAGGCTCCTCTGGTTACAGACACGGAGACGCTGTGGACGGGACTGGATGTGTCCTTTTGAATTCAGGGGGAGACGCTTCAAGCCAGAACTCTGGAGCTCAGCTGCTCCGAGACGGCGATGAGCACAATGAGCAGAGAACCCGAAGCACATCAACACCACTTACCTTGTCACAGACGGAAACAGAGACAGACAGACGTCCAAGCAGAAGACAGGCTTTGTCTCCGCGAGCCTGAGAGACAAAAGAAAGCAGAAGGAGTGGACGGACGGAGAGAGGACGATGCAGAGGTTAGTGAGCCAGCAGAGACCCCCCCCCCCTCATAAAGGCTCTCAGCTGGAGGCAAGGTGGCACATTCTGGGGCCCGCGGTGAAATGCCACACGGGGAGCCGGTACCGGCCGCATAGCAAAGCCCCCCCTGACCCCCCGTTAGAGGAGGTCAGAGTTCCCACAGACGACTTTACATTAGTTCAGATTATGCTCAAAGATACTTAATGGAAGGTTTTCTGCTTTCTCATGGATTAGTATGGAAGATTTAAATGCTTAAATAAAAGGCAAATACAATAAAGTAATAATTGCTCTTTTGACCTTTTTTGAACACACAACTGCATTAAAAAGGAAACCTTTCATTTCTCTGTGTGATTTCGTTTTATTTATACATTTTGTGATATTTAGTATGTTTCTCTTCCTAAAACGTGTGACTTATGATGACGCAAAATACAACACAGAAATCATAAGGTATAAAAAGCCTTACTGTGAATATTTATTTGTGATTGAGGAGAACTGACTTTGCTTTTAGATATTAGCTCATAACTAAGGGCTGGCTCCGGTCTGCCCTGAACCAGCCCTTAGTTAAGCTGCTAACAGGTCCAGACTGCTGTTGTGCGCAGATGTTAAAGCCCCCCGAAGCAAATATGTGACAATAAGTCAGGCGGAATCAGTGGCTTCCTTTCCTGGGGATACAAAAAGGCCTCATTTGAATTAATTCCATAATCATAATTTAAAAACAATAACAAACACATCTCCTTGGTTTTAATATCCAGTCTTTTACTAGAATAAAGGGTTTTTTATTGCAACATATTTAACAATATAGCATGTTTTTTGGTAATTCATTCAATTAAAAGTCTTTTTGAAATAACGTGTGTAATGGTCAAATATTTGACAAATGAAGAGTATTTTCTAAATAGATATTTGCAGCTACACGCTGATTTAGAGAGTAATCCGATTAATCCGATATCTTGATTTAACTACATTATCGGGTATTAAGGCGGATCCTTGGCTTTATGCAGGAGTTGAGAGCTGAATGAGGAACATCCTGTTCGCTGCCGTTGGGTTCCACGTTGTTCTCCATCACTGTTCCGCAGAGGGAACCCTCTCCTGAGCTGTAGGAACCGCTGGCTTCTGGCGGAATGGAGCTCGAAGGTTAGAGTCTGGTTTGTTAAATCGCAGTGAGTAAGCTAAAGGAGGTCGTGAGCTATTCGCAAAATATTCAGATTTTTCTGTGAAAAAAGTTAGCGTGTCGTTGTTTTATTAGGAAAATGAAACAATATGATTTTCACCGCAGTGCGATTCCACCGAGGAGATAAGTCAGTGTTTCCATACCGGCCCCCAAGAAGGGATGTTTGTTTTACGTTATCCACAGAGCGCCCCGAGGCCCGGCGTCTAACCGACAACCGCCCAGTTGACCAACGACCGTCCAACCGACAACTGACCGGGTGACAGCTGACCGGGTGACAGCTGACCGGGTGACGGCTGACCAGGTAACGGCTGACCAGGTAACGGCTGACCGGGTGACAGCTGACCGGGTGACAGCTGACCGGGTGACGGCTGACCGGGTGACGGCTGACCGGGTGACGGCTGACCAGGTAACGGCTGACCAGGTAACGGCTGACCGGGTGACAGCTGACCGGGTGACGGCTCCGCGGCAGAGAGGCGAGGACAGAAATCAGAGCAGAAGCACAGAGCCTCGTTCCTGCACAAACAGCTGCAAACAGCTGCAAACAGCTGCTCCTTGCAGCTGCTCCTGTCGAGGACGGCAGCTCGGCACAATCGGCTGCAGAGATTAACCCAGAACCCCTGCTGTTCACATCGGACGCCAGTGTTACGGGAATGAAGTCCAGAACGTTCAACACACAGTTACGTTTTGTGATGAAACACCAAAATAACAAGAGGTGGATCAATCATTTATCAAGCAAACGTTTAAAACACGCCAACGATCCTATAAAAACTATTTGAAGAGGTCATCTTTCATCCACAGATCAATCGATAATGAAAAATAATTAATTAGTCCTGTTAAAGGATTCGATTACTTATTCTCTTTATTCTAGTTTCTTTAAGCTTTCTTATTTTTATTAATAAACCTTTTAGAGCCGGTTGGTATAAATGTTCTTATCAGGGCGTTTGTGATTAAGCACAGCGCGATCAAACATGATCTACAGGCTTAAAAAGTGAAACAAAGCTGCATTCTTGCCTCTTTCTGGAGATGAAGTCTGTGCGTGTGCGTGTGTGTGTGTGTGTGTGTGTGTGCGCATGGCGGGAAGTTCACATTCTGCGCTGACATGTTGCATGTTTCCATGAAACACCAGTTGCGCCGCAGGATTCGGGCCCGTCGGGGCCCGTTGGGGGCCGTCGGGGCCCGTTGAGGCCCGTTGGGGGCCGTTGGGGGCCGTTGGGGCCCGTTGAGGGGCCGTTGAGGGGCCCCCCCAACTAAAATACAATAGTTGCGTCCGAAATGTTGTAAAATAGTATCATAGTAAAAATTAGAAGTAAAAGTATTTTAAAACGATTCCAGCAAATTTTACTTTACCCACAACGGGGCATCAATTGAGGTTCGTTGTAGTATCTGCTTCGTGTGAACAATTCAATTAAGTTTCATTTTGTAATGAACATAATGGAGAGAAAGTAGAATACGTACAGTACAAACACAAAGACTTAACGTTGTATAACTTAGTACTGAGTATTTTACCGGCTGCATGAAGTTAATGTAAAAGGTTTATTATTTAAAAAGCTTCAGGTAACTTAATAGTTAAATGCCAAATAAGGGTAACGTTCGTAAAGTTAAAAGAAAATAAATACTGTAATGTGACTGACAGTCGGTGGCTAAGCTAAGCTAACCTTAGCTAAGCTAACCTTAGCTTAGCCACCGACTGTCAGTCACGCTCTGACTTTGTGATCCTCGGTGTTAAAAACTACGGACGGCAGTACCGACGTGACATTCGCAGTAATACACATAACGTTACATACATACATATATATATTACCGCGAATTTAAAAAACAACAACAGTCAGTCAGTCAGACTGACAGGTGAGGTCTTTCTTACCTGTTTCTCCCCCCCCGACGTCGGAGGAACCGACCCGCCCGCCGGTGCGTGTGCGCGTGTGTCCGCCTCTCCCGACCGGTGTCCTCGCTGCGAAACCCAGCGCCCCCTCGTCCCTAAAACCGCCACGAACTGCGACACGGAGCGAGTTCCCTCCGCGGTCCCCGGTTGGTGGAAGGTCCGCCGGCTCCCTGCGTCGCCTCGGCCGTCTGTTAGCGCGCAGTCACCGGGGAAGCGTCTGGAAGCTCCGCCGCCGCCTCCGTGTAATCAACACAATCTCCATTCATCCCATTACGCCGCCCGACCGTCACTGGCTGATGCGCGGCGCCGCGTTCACGGACCATCGGAGGAACGGACCCCGCGGATGTGGAGCCAAATCCAGGTCAAAAGTTTTGTTCATTTGAAAAACAAATATTCACCCAATCATGAAATTAACAATGCATTTAAACGATGTTATAGTTTTCCTTTAATCACAAACACCTACTTTTTATGATTAATTATTGATTCCAATGAATCTTTTATCTATAATTAGCTTGTAAACGTTGTACCATATTCTCGTTTTTAGTTAATATTGAGGAAGAAATCAATTAATCTGAATGTAAGATAAACAGGCCTGTAAATAAAAGAAAGGAGATGAAAAATACATATAAATACTTATATTCCATAAAACAAAGTATTGTTAAAATTTAAGTTACTGTTGTATATATTTACTAGCTAATTTATTCATTGTAAGGAAAAATAACAACGGACTAAGATAATTTATCTCCCATTACCTTCAAATAAAGAATACTAGTTCTTAAATAGGTAATGTAAAAGCACATTTATTTTGCAAGGCAATTTATTGCAGGCGTGTGTATTTTAATTGTAAAAAACAAAACAAAGTCCTAATCTTCCTTTACCTCCAAACTACAGGAAATTATTATTTATAGTGCTGTTTAATGAGGAAATGTATCCTATGCCTACGCGCGACAGAAACTTATAAGGTTAAATTCTTTAATCTTCCTTTAATTCTGAATAAATAAATTATAATTATTAATATTATTATCTCTTTACTTTCCATTTTAGAATCTAAATATATATATACATATATACAATGAACATAACATCAACTTGGATTGTTGAATTCTCGAGGTGTCCCTGAAGGCATCATTAACCCAGCCCCTGACCCACTCTTGGAACTGGGTTAACACGCACCCGCACACACACACACACACACACACACACACACACACACACACGGTCTGTTTGGCAGGTCGTGGTCTTGTGAAAACGTAGAAAAATCAGTCCAATAATTAAATTCAAAACAAATATGTTTTACATTCCGACACATTTTATCATGTTTGATTTACCAAACAATTGGAGCACAAGCTTCCTTCACAAACGGCGCCCCCTCCGGACACCAGCGTCCTCACAACAACACACATTGTGTCCGGAGCAAAGCAGCTTATCTGAAATGACATTTTTCATTTAAAAAAGCCTCTTTGTATTCACTGAAAATCTCCCATAGAGCAGTTCAGGCTCTTCGGTCTCTCCTGAGTAATACGACTATTACAGTTTCAGTCAAACACTAATCGACAAGATAATATAAAGTACCACAAATGCATCGTGTAAAAACAAAATATATATAATATACAGATATATATATATGTACATGTATTATTATTGCCTACGGTCTTCTCATACTGCATATTTACACTATGAGCAAACGACAGCCTGACGTGTGGTCTGACTCGTTGAGATGTTTGTGGAGGTTCCATCTCTGTCTGAGCTTCCTGTGTCGCTGTCACACCGTGACGTAGTAGAAGAGCAACGGGGAAATTCTTAAATAAGATAAATAGTGCCGCTGATGGCTACTACTCGTCCTGAAAGCGGCACGTGAGAAATGTGGACACTTGCTTGAAAACCTACCTCAACATTCTGAAACCTTTCATTCGTGTGATTCGTGTGATGAAAGGGACACATTAAAACGTGTCACGTGTGCCGGTTAACGAGAACATCCACCCTGCACCACTACAGTCTGACTGCACCACTTACACACCTCATTGTGGCCCCATTTGGTCCTGAGCCGGATCAGGATCTGGAGGACGGAAGACGGAGACACAGAGATGGCAAAGATGAGGAGAAAGACGATGGAAACGGAGACTGAGAGTGGAGTTTTCCACAGGATCTTCAGGAGGTGGACTCCCTTTGTCTTCCTGGGGTTTTTTTCTCCCGGTACTCAGGTTTTTCAAGAAAAATCTTTAGGCTGGTGTTAGACAGTGGTGGTTAGCGCTGCAGAACTACCCCCATCAGGCCGTCTTCTTCTTCTGTGAGGTTTTGGCTCTTGGTGCTGTTGGAGTATCAGGGTTGTACGGTTTATGCTGCAGGGGCCCAGATGCCTTCACACGGGGACTTTCCTCTGTGCGTCCCACATCATTATATTACATTACAGGTCATTTAGCTCACATTGCATTTGTAACATATACATACATTTAACATACACATACCCACCCATCCATCGTCAAACCGCTTCTCCTAAAACCAAACTCAGGTTTTCACCTGTTAATATCTGTGTTTTATCCGCAGTGACGACGTCGTCCACACGGCGGCGCTCCAGCATCGTAATTTCCTCTTCGTCACGCCCTGTGAGCAGTTTATTGAGCTCAAGACAAAAAGGAACTTTTAGGGTTTGATTTCACCACCAACATTCGGAATGAATAATAACACTGAAGTCACAATCCTTCAGCTGCACACATTTAGTCCTACTTCAAAGACTACTCTCAGTGGAGTACTTCCAGTGTGGTATTAGTACTTCTCAGTGTGGTATTAGTACATGAAGGCCTACACTTTTGGTGAACGTTTTTTTTTTCCCCCAAGGACATTGTTTTACTAAAAAAGTACCAGCAACAGAGATTGGGAAACACTCAGATGTATTCTCACACACGGCAGGCACTCTCACACACACACACACACTCTCACACACACCATAATCATAACATCACTTCAGCATTGATGAAAAGCAGCTTTCAGCTTCCCCTGGTTTATTAACACAGACGTGTGTCTTTGTGTTTGTTGTGTTGTTTACAGGAAGTTGTTGTTCTCGTCGTGGTGCTGCAGAACGCGTGACACAAAGAACTCGCCACACGTCTGATGACACGCGTCGATCAGAGATGTTTCGTGACATCACCTCCGATGTTATGAAGAACGACGGCTCCACATTTACACATTTTAAATCAAAACAAACCTTTTTTCATTAAATTGTCACTTTGATCCTGATCCTGAATTCTGGATTTCCTCCAATGAGTCCCACTGCGCCCCGAGGCTGATCCTGGTGTACATACTATACAAAGGTATGTGTAGTATTTGTGATATTAGCAGGACGGAAAACAAAAGACACATATTGATGAATATGATTATTTATCGATCCTGCTGACGGATCAATAACTTACAACAACATAAGAGGACAACAAACAGTCGTGTAGTGTAAACAGTGTAAATCGACGCTCCATATGTTTGCTAACTATTCGTTATTGTTTGGGGTTTCGGACCGTTGCCGTGACGACAGACTTATTTATTTTGTATTTGTCTCTGACTCACGTTATCCGCTGTGTTCTTCTTCCTGTATGAAGATCAATAACGTGATTTAAAGGTTTCTCTTTTCGACGTCTGTATAAAAAACACTTTTACCCCTCGAGTACAAAACAAGGCACTGCCATTAGTTCTTCTAAATACGACCCATGCAGATTCAAAGTATAAATTACACTTTATTTCAATCCCCTCCTCCGCTTTCTTCTTTTTCACAATTTTTTGGTCATTTTTGAGTTTTTTTATTATTAAACATACAATATTCTTTTGTCAAATATATACGTAAGCCTGCAGTCAATACAGGACATCGGCTCTTTGAGTAAAACGAGAAGCGTTACAGCTGAATTTACAAAACAATAAAAAGAAAAGAGAAAGTCTTGGCGTCCCACGTCCGTCCCACGTCGACGAGGACCGCAGAAATAAAGACACTTTAAAGTACATGACATCATGGCGTCCTCTACGTGTTAATACTGCAGCGGGAGTTAGACGCCTTCCGGCAGAACAACAGACTAAACAACGAAGCGTTTGGTTTGAAGAGAACTCTACACACACGTTAGTAACTTTGCATCAGCGCCGTTGTGGCTCCAGCGTGACGTCACAGCGAAATAAAATACTGCGACGATTGTCCCTTCGATCACATCGCCGAAGGCAGCGAATCCCACCAAAGGAGTGGACAGTGAACGCACCCGAAGCCTGGCGGATCTCCATGGAAACGCCCGGATGAGTCTCACTGTTCTTCATCACTGTACTCATCATCGTCACCACGTGTGGATCCTTCCGCCGCTGGAAATAGTCCCCGGCCGGAGCTGAACGACTTCCTCCAGTTTGTTTGAGTAAAAAGAAAAAACCTCAGTGAGCAGCTGCTTTCTTCAGAATATGAAACTATATATTGGGTTAATAAATCAACAACGCGCGGCCTCTTTATACGTGAGGTTTTTAACTAAACACTTCTGCGCCGCTTCGCCTCAACGAGGCGCTGATATCGGATACAAAACCAGATTATAGCTCAACAACAACAAACGAAAGAAGAAGTGGACGATGTTAATATTTGAGATGTACGTATGGTCACCAGCCATAGCGTGTTAATACAAACGGTACTTTAAATAAGAATACACCGAAATGAGGAACAAGCATCACCTACACAGGGGAAAAAACTGAAAACAGAATAAATAATTGGATCTACTTTAAGTTCGGGTTCATGATCCACACGGGAGCTTTGTGGGCGGGGCGTAACTCATTAAAGCATATAGCGGGCGGGGCGTAACTCTTTAAAGTCTCTAGTGGGCGGGGTGTAACTCCTTGAAGCCTCTAGTGGGCGGGGCGTAACTATTTAATTCCTCTAGTGGGCGGGGCGTAACTGTTTAACTCCTCTAGTGGGGGGGGGGGGCGCAGCGCTTTAACTCCTCTAGTGGGCGGGGCGTAACTCTTTAACTCCTAGTGGGCGGGGCGTAACTCCTTAAAACCTCTAGTGGGCGGGGCTGCAGACTGAAGCCAACTGAATTCACCTTTTCCCAAACAAAGAACGACGGCGGCCTTCAGGTAACTTCGCAGTCATCACAGTCTCTCTGGAGACGGTGTTTTCTTTGTTTGTTCTGGGCTCCGCCCCCCTGTTGTTTTTACAAACACACGTCAAGGCTCAGTATTTAAAGTTGAATGTAGTGTTTGCATTTTTCTGAAACTTGTAGGTCGGCAGTAGTTTCCATTACTTGAGAAGGTGAACCATCGCAACAAACATCGTGCCGACGTTCACTCGTAGGTCTGCAGATCTTTACAGAAACCACCGCTTCATTTAAATAACAAAAATGAACCTGAAAGGTTGTAAAAGTATAAATATTAGACTTTTAGAGCATCGGGATCCAACATGGCCGCCCGCCGCTTGTGTCCCGCACTGTATCACGTGAGGGACACAAGAGGACGTTCACTACGGAATTGCAGCAAACTAATGAAAGAAACTAGACAATAATAATAATGATCAATCAATCAGGACTCGCGGCGCTAAGGGGGGGGGGGGGTCCTAACCAGCTTATTCCCTTATATTTTTTCTTAATAAAGTCACAATAAAGTGAGGATAAATATTAAGGCAAAGAGTAACCGTGAGGTTAAGAATAAAAGAAAGAAAGAGTAAATCCCACTTGAGCCGCTGTGATATCGACCTGCAGTGAGCGCGTTCGGCCAGCAGGGGCGACGGGCGCCACCGAGGCGTCTCTGGGGAAACCAAAGAGACCCTTCATGGACTGACGGGGCGACGCGACGCGACAGTTCTCACATCTGACGAGCGGCTTGTGAGAGACGCAGCTCCTCCAGAAGAAGAAGAAGAAGACTGAACCCTGCGTCCAACGCGTGGACATTAATCTCCCACACGCGTGTAAAAAAAAACACACAAACACACTTTGAGCGCACGGTGCCGTCAAAGAGTTCATAGTCCATCAACAATGCGTGACGGACCGGAGACCAACTCGCGTCCTCCTACACTCGACCACATGACATCATCATCCTCAATCACCTTCGTCCAATCGGAGGTCCCGCCCCCAACGTCTTTCTGTTTAAAACATCCGCTTCCCTTTCCAGTGTCGCCTCAGCGCCTTTCTTTCTTCTGCCACTTCCTGTGTCCTTCTTAACCTCTTCCTCTCAGCCCTCCTCACACATGTCCTCCTCCTCCTCCTCCTCCTCCTCCACATCCTCCTCCACATCCTCCTCGTCTCTCCAAGCCAACGTCTTTCTCTGCTGGCTGTGAAAATAAAGGATGAGCACGTTTGTTGTAAACTAGCACGGCGGCTACTCGCGGGACGTAAAGCTGGTGGGCGGCCAAATATGACACGACTCATAACCTGAAATTCGTTTCTGTACCCTTTTGAAAGTAGCATCATTATGTAAACAATAAATACACACAACACAAATACAGGACTTCTGTTTCTTTTTGGATCCTTGGTGAGAGGATCCTGACCGGGAGCTCGTTCCTCTCGGACAAACGTCCTTCTGGCTCGTTTTGGGGTCTGAGGTACAGTAACGGGCCTGAAGGACCCCGCGACCTGTGGTCCATGTGCGGGGGGGGTTGATGATGGTGTAGGGGGCACCCTGATCCATGGCCTGGCGACTCCTTTCTGCTGGCCCGTTGGCACACGGCAGCAGGAGGTGTGTTTACGTCGGTCGTATCTCTCTCTGGTTGAGGGGGGAGGGGGGTGAGGGGGATGAGGGTGGGGTGGGGGGGTATCAGAAGGGCCGGTGGAGAGAGAGAACCTCCTGAACCAGCGCCGCCTCACTCACGTCCTCCACTCATATGGTTGATGTGCGGTCGGCGCCGTCTGAAGAGGAGCAGCGGAGGGGAGGAGGCGTTAGTGCTCATTGAGAGGTCCAGAGACCTGTCAATCAGTGTGTAGTCCCGCCCTAAAGCATCCCCTGCTTTATAGTCTGTTTGACTCTAAATGGACCATCATTCACTAAATGAACATCATGCTGTAATGAAGAAGACTTTAAACTAGAGACTCATGTTTACAATGTTTACTGAGGGAATAAATCCAGAGAGACGTGGAGTCATTTTTTGTACCCATGATGCCCGGCGTTTCTACACAGTGAGGCCTTTGTGTGTTGATTAAACATCTATTGGATCGGTACCCGGACGGCGAACCGCTAACAAACGGAGGTTCACTACATTGCAACGCGTTCAGGCTCTGCTCAGTGAAAATGAGAACGTTATCGTGATGTGTTCATATGTAATCTGTAAAATGGAGTTTTAGTGATAAAATCCAAATGTTTTCACATAAATATAAAATAGATATTAGAGATGAAATATGAGCTTTACACAAGTTAAAATAATTGATTAAAACTACTAGAGCAGCTTTGTGTGTTTTTTGAAAAAAATAACAACATTTACAATCTTAACAGAATTCAAATTTGGGCCGCTAAAATACATAAATAAAATGTCTAGCACCTTTTAAACCAATGAAAATGGATCTTTTAATATATGTTGATGGATTATGATTATATTTGCTTGTAATACAGTGATATCAATTTGTCCGACGGAGTCAGGACCGTAAGCTCTGTATGAAAAGAGAGGCGGGGCCGTGGATAAATGGGCGTGGCCACACGTGAAGGGGGCGGGGCGTGAGTGAAAGGCCTGAGGCCCCGAGGTTCTGACGGGTGGGGCAGCGCGAGGTCGAAGCCCCACGCTGTCCCGGCGAGAGGAAACACACAAAACATCTGTAACAACACAGGAAGACAGCGCTGTGAGGTCGGGGGGGGCAGACGGCTACGGTCAACTCCGTATATTCCAAAACGTGGAGGTTTGAGTCCAGAGACGAGAAGAAGAGACTCTAAGCCGAGAAAGTTCCTTTGGTTAAAGGCACCGCTTCGTTCTGCACACACACACACACACACACACACACACACACAAAGCAGCACTTGTACACTGTTAAGCGCCGAGCACTGAGGCCTACTGTCTTCACCTCAGTCCGGTTTTGAGAGGGTGGGGGCTCGGCGGTGGAGGTGGACGATGTCCTCACATACATTGAGTCTTTTCTTCAATCAAATACTCTGAGATATTAAATCAGATGTCTGACATTAACAAGTCTTAAAGGTATAATATGTATACTATATGAATAGACCTAGTGGCAACATGTAATGAAGCTGCATCCTCTGCAGTGACCAGCAGGGGGCGACTCCTCTGCTCCCATAGACGTCTATGAGGAAATGACTCTACTTCTCTGTAGTGACCAGCAGGGGGCGACTCCTCTGCTCCCATAGACGTCTATGAGGAAATGACTCTACTTCTCTGTAGTGACCAGCAGGGGGCGACTCCTCTGCTCCCATAGACGTCTATGAGGAAATGACTCTACTTCTCTGTAGTGACCAGCAGGGGGCGACTCCTCTGCTCCCATAGACGTCTATGAGGAAATGACTCTACTTCTCTCTGGATTTATTCCCTCAGTAAACATTGTAAACATGAGTTTATGGTCTCAGTCTCTAGTTTCAAGTCTTCTTCAACACAACATGATGTTCATTTAGTGAATTATGGTCCATGTTGAGTCAAACCGACCATAACGCAGGGGACGCTTTAGGGCGGGGCTACAAAGCATTGCTGTACTAATGTGGGGCCACACTTTTGTTCCTCATCAAAGCGGATTCATTGTCAACAGCTGAGATGATTCATCATAAAACGCTACCCTGTGACCATCACGACGTGCGAATGACGACGCATGTTATCTGATGGGAGTTTACCTCCCAAGGCGTGCTCCGTCATACTCAGACACAGAGACTCCAGGCGGTTGTTGATGTCCGGCTCCGTCACCGGCAGCTGGAGATCTGCACGGGAAGGAAAGCAAAGACGACGATGCAAAATGATGATCACGTGATTTAATTCAACTGTTCAACCACAATTTCACGGCACAGTATTTCCTCATGTGTGTTTAGTGACTTCACGCGTTCTTAGGAAGAGACACAAACACACACAAAAAGGCTCTTTCAACAAAAGGTGAGAATAAAGTGTTGAAATCAGAGGACCAAGCTACTACTGAACAGACTGAAGCTACTGTGAGACGTCTTATTCAGCTTCTTTTAGGTGGAACGGTGTCAATATCCAGGGCTTTTATTGTGAAAGGAAGGGAGTAATAAAGTCTGTCTGATGAACATAACAGTCACTTGGTTGAACGGTGAAGGTTTAGGACACTTGTTCAAAGGTTTGGGCCTTTGTGGATCAACTCCGCGGTCAATTTGCGGAAAACCCAAAAGCCTTTAGTCCCGCCCCTGCTCCACAGTGATTGGATGGCTGGGTGAAATGTGAGAGTGACGCCATGTCAAGCTTTTCTTCGCAACATGAACCTGTCCCTCTGTCCCTTTAAGTCCCCTGAGGCGTTTTTTTTATTTTTTATTTGGGACCCAGTGGAGCTTAGCAACCCCTCTCAAACATTCAGCTCCTCAACGCGGCCCGTGAAAATCCTGTTGGCCAGAGGGAAAAGCTGAGTTAGGCCCAGTAGTATTTATAGGCTCCAAATACCCCCCTGTGGGCCGGGTCCTCACAGCACAAAGAGCCTCCTTGTGAGACTCCTGTGACTCCGTCCTCTCTCCTGCTTTTTAAAAAATATGTTTTTGCTCAACAGAACATTTCTGGTGTGTGTGGGGGACGAGATTGGAGGAAGTCCAATCTTGTTCCATTACTGTCCGTAGTTCCTGTGGGACCAGGTTCAGTCAGCAGAGGCTACTGCAGGTCACTCCGATGGTCACCATGACCCGAGTGTGTGTGAGTGGACGGGATCACAAACAACACTGCTTTAGCGTGGTGGAGTTCTTTGATAGTCTAACGTCATAGTTGTTAAAACCACTATTCCAATGTGAAAATTTATATTTATATTTATTTATATTCGAATGTAAAAAAAAAAAAAGAAAAAAAGAAAAACGTCGGCGCGGCGGTCTGCTTAGCGGGTCGGCGCACCTGACTGTACTGACTGTATTGCATGAATAAAATAGACTAGAGGCTACAACAGCTTCATGCACTGGTTTGATTATTTGCCGTTTCATGCCAATGAAACGTTCCGTGTTTACAGCTCAGCTCGCTTCAATGTCGGTACTGTAGAACTTTCATCATAGAGTGGATATTTATGGTATTAAACTGTTACATTAAATTGTAAATGTCTTATTTTAATTATTCTAAATTGAAGCACTTTATTTGAACATGCAGAAATGTTAATATTTTCATATATATATATATATATTTTAAATGCAGCCCTACTTTTATTTAGTTAATTGAGAGAACATTATTTATTTATTTGTAGTCACACATATTTGTTCAATTCTTTGTTACGTGACAATAAATATTGTAAAAAGAGTTTTGATTTTTTAGTCATGTATTGATTAAATGCAAATGTTGATACAACTCTATTGCTCTATTTAATCACACTAAGTAGTCACATTATGATCTTTCTGACCTTTGCTTCTAGAAATGTTCTCTAAATGGACCTCTTCACATTTTAGCTGAATATCACTGTTTTATATTCTAACGTCATGTGACTGTGGTGGAGTTCCTTTACAGTCTATCGATAAGTCATGTGACCGTGGTGGAGTTCCTTTATAGTCTATCGATAAGTCATGTGACCATGGTGGAGTTCCTTTATAGTCTATCGATAAGTCATGTGACTGTGGTGGAGTTCCTTTATAGTCTATCGATAAGTCATGTGACTGTGGTGGAGTTCCTTTATAGTCTATCGATAAGTCATGTGACCATGGTGGAGTTCCTTTATAGTCTATCGATAAGTCATGTGACCATGGTAGAGTTCCTTTATAGTCTATCGATAAGTCATGTGACTGTGGTGGAGTTCCTTTATAGTCTATCGATAAGTCATGTGACCATGGTAGAGTTCCTTTATAGTCTATCGATAAGTCATGTGACTGTGGTGGAGTTCCTTTATAGTCTATCGATAAGTCATGTGACTGTGGTGGAGTTCCTTTATAGTCTATCGATAAGTCATGTGACTGTGGTGGAGTTCCTTTATAGTCTATCGATAAGTCATGTGAGGCAAAGTCATCCATTAGCTTTTTAAAACTAAAATAGTGTTGATGCAAATACAGCAAGACAAATAACCACCAAAAGCCATTCCGCACCATGACACTGGCACCAGATGGGATTCATTCATCAAGAATAAATTCTTCAGGCTTAAATAAACGTCCTTTCAGAATAAAAGATGCAACTTCTTACCGGCGTGATGGAACATGACCATGGTTTGTGGCGTGGTGTGGACCGGCAGGGAGCGGGTCCTCTGCACCGAGCTGTGCGTCCGGCTCGGCATGCTGTTGCTTCCTCCGGGGTTAGCGAACCAGAGGCCCTGGGGAGGAGGGGGGGGGGGAGAACCAAGCATTAAAGGCGCTCTGTGGGGACGGCGTGACGTAGTTATGGTTTTTAAACAAAAACAATGACAGTCATCGTCTCCGGGTGGAAAATAGGTTTTGAGATATGAGAACAATACGCATATGAAAATGCCTCTAATTGCCATCGATAGGTGTGAAGCCTTTCTACTTCATGCAAGCAGTCGTTATATTTAGAATTGGATAGAAGAACACAAATAAACAGCTGCTAAATAAAAACGTCTTCACGTTTTCTTACATCGGAACTTTAACCGATCAAAGAGGAATATTATGAAGCCCCCCCCCATGTCTGAACCACATCTAATGAGAACCTCAGTCTCAAAAGTCATGAATTCCTCACTGTAACCTGCCCATTACCTCATTGCCCCCCCCCCCCCTCCACGGGCAGGGGGGGAAACAGAAATGCCTGTGAACTGCTCTCACTGCCTCTCTCTCTCCTACACATCACATAAACTCTCTGTTGCTCACTGCCCCTCCTCCTCCTCCACCACAGCTACCTCTCCCAAACTATGACTCACATACCCCCCCCCACACGTCCACAGAGCAGTCCCTCACAAGAAGGTCCAGCGTGAGGAGGAACTGAGGTATTTCCTCCCATTGTAAGGATAGAGAGAGGGAGGGAGAGAGAGACATAGAGAGAGAGAGAGTGGGAGGGAGAGAGAGACATAGAGAGAGGGAGGATTGGCTGGGTCCTCGTGCTCCTCCTGTTCCAGTGTTCTGCTCTGACGTAGATCTTCAGGTATGTGTAGAGACGAGTTCCATCCACCGCTTCTCACTTGACCAGATTTATTTATGTCGGGGGGGTTTGTGGTCATGGATAACGGCATTAATGTCTGAATACCAGAAGAAGGAATTCTGCTGACCAGGTTAGTGTTGTCATTGTGGAATGCAGTATGACTCATTTCAAAATGCTCCTCTGTCGTCTGACGTCATTGCTTAAGTATTTCTTTATTGGCAAATATTCATAAAAGGCCTTTTAGGAAATAATCTGAACCATCAGACTCCAGCGATAATAGATTAAGTAACACAAGATTTCTGCTTTTCTTTCTTGGGGTTTAGAATCTTAAACCGTTTACACAGAAACACACTAAAGTACATAATGCAGATTATTGGAATATTTGAATAATCCTCATCTGTGGCCCTAAAAAGGCCCCAGAAGAAAACAGACTTGCAATACTGTCAGAGATGTACATGTATATGAGGTCGGCCTCGCTCACCTGTCTCCCCTGCTTGGGGCCCGTGGGGATGCTGCTGGAGCTGCGAGGCGTCGGCCCCAGCAGCCCCCCGCTGCCCAGCAGGGGGCGGGCGCCGGGCAGACTCCTGGAGGGCATCTGGAACTGACGAAGGCTCCTCCGGGCCGACACGCCGCCCCCGACACAGCCAGCGGTGGGGAGGGAGTTGGACTGGCCGAACCGGCTGCAGAAACATGAAGGAAGCTTAATGTGGGTGGAGGTTTGATGAAGGTGGTGTTTACAATCTCATCCGTCGCACATGAACTGAAGGAAATGTGTCCGACTGAACCCGACATCATCTGAAGACGGACCTCGTGGTCCTGGTTTTGGTAAAGCCCAGACGGGCACAACGCCTGCACGCTCACCTCCTCTGCGATCGGTACCCCGCTAAGTCGAGGATGGTTTTCCTTGGAATGGACCGGAACAGCCTCTGGACCTGTTGTTTCCATGACAACAGCCTCTTCTTCTGCGCCTCGGTGAAGGACTGATGGGAGGAGGGGAGGGGGACGATTATTTGGAACGTGTCTGAAGCATGATGCCTTTATAACTATGAACATGAGAGGGCTGGAGGACATCGTCCCTCTTTAAACCATCAAGGTTCGTCTCCACAGTCATTTCACTAAACTCAAACCATCTAGTTGATGAATTCTCTCAACACAGAAACACCTCGTCGAGCCGTGTGGGTCAAACTCAATTTCTCCATGTGACATAAAAAGAGCGTTCCGGGGGGGCGGGGCTACCTCGTGGACAAGGCACTTGTCGATGAGCTGCAGGTAGGAGCTGATGTTGTCCTCGTCTGACCTGGACACCAGCAGCTGGGTACAAACTGAGGACGGAGACGTGAGCGTTAGAAGCAATCACAAACCTCTCCGGGTGACCCGGCACACCCTCGACCCGAGCGGCCCACCTTTGCCCATGACGCGAGTGAACTGGCCGGGTAGATCCCCTTCGGCGATGATGCTGCCGCCCGACTCCGCCTCCCCTCCGCCCACCCCGGTCAGGTGGGCGCCGGGTGCCGCGCTTTTGCCCTCGTGGCCCAGCAGGGAGCGCTGCAGGGAGGCCCCCTCGCCGCCGCCGAAGGCCTTGATGGGCGTCGCGATCATCTGGTGGAGCTCCTGCAGCGGAGTGCGCAGGTTACTGCCCTCCAACACGTCCTGGTGGGGGCGGAGTTAGGTGTTTACACTGCTTACACCGAACAGTCGCCCACCTGGTGTGAGCTCTTCTAGACACCACCCTTCTAAGAGGTGGAGTCCACCACAGACGGAATAAATAATGGAAGAGCGGGAGGAGCAGAAGTGGCAGGTAGGCCCCCGGAGCTCCGCGAGGTGCACTGACCTTTTCCAAGCTGCGCAGCAGGTTCTGCCGCTCTTTGAGCTTCAGGATGCTGATGACAATCTTGTGTCGCGCTCCTTTGGTGACCTTCTGTTGGAAGAAGAGAGTTTTGAGTCAAACACCCGATGTTTGCTGTCAACACTTTGACCGGCGATCTCCAGGCCGATCAGAGGGCGCCGACGAGATGATGCAATGGCGGGAGGGAAGGAGGAGAAGAAGCCAATCGGCACCTCCGCCGAGCGGCTCTTCATTCGCACCGCAGCAGGTCGTATTCTGCCCTCAAACACTAGGGAAGCGCAGATGTCCGATGTGATCTCTCAGTTTCATGTCTCTCTACGGCTCGGGAAATTAAAAGGTTCCTTCTCCCGAAGCATGAAGTTTTTTCAACCAGCCGAAAGAAACCTGCGTAGCTCGAAGTTGTTTTACGGAAGAAGAACGTTCCTCACGACCTCGTAGACGGGACAGTAAAACAAAAAGTGTCTCATTCTCTGTTTCAAAAAGCCTTTAATATTGTGGCTAAATCATTTCACAGCGCCAAGATCCGCTGCTCTGACAAAGAAACTCCGCAGCAACGACACGAAATTAAATACTACGAGATGATCCAGCTTGCTTCCTACTGAGCACTTTTAACATACAATGCTGTTGAAACAGTTATTTAAATACTCTTGTGTGGGAAATGAAGGTCTGAGGGACACGCGGCGGCGTTACGTGCTCTCTGCGGCCGGTAGAAAGAGAGCGAGCAGCGCCCCGCAGGAAGCCGCATCTTTTCTCTCAACGTAAACTCCTCAGACGTCTACGGGAGCAGCTTCGGTCCAACACGGTGACTACGGACAAAGTGACGCCGTGAAGACGTGTGTGTCGTTGCGTAGATAGTATATATATAAATACGCGCCTCCAGCTGTTCTTCGGTCAGCGACATCATCTCGTCGTAGGTCATGGTGGAGAAGAGAGCGGCGTACTTATGGAGACGGAGACTCTTCAGCCAGGCAGGAACATCTGCAGGGGAGACAAAGGGGTCACATGTTACTCATTCAGTGGCTGGCTAGTTAGCTAAGCGTGCTAGCTCCACCACGGCTTCATGCTCAGACTGATAACTAAAGCTACGGGTTGGTTACTTTTTAATATATTTTGTGAGCGTGACTCCATGTGTTTGCAGCAAGGATCACACCTGCGTGGAGACGTGGAGCTTCCTCCACCTATGACACGCGACCAGGGGGGGCGGTCTTCTACAACTGACTAACCGTGTCAGCGCGTGACAAGTGGTGACGAGTGTACATCAGTTCACCGGCGTCGGCGTCCTCTGCTTGTCCCGACAAACGGCTCGGACCGGATCGCCGACATGCCGACGGCCCCACGGGGGGTCTGCTGTGAGAGGACGACTACGTTCTGTGCAAATGTTTCTTTCTAATGGCGCAGCTTGGAGCCTCTGCTTGTACTGCACATATAGAGCGTACCTTCAACTGGTACCAAGGGTTCTATGGGAGCAGGGCCCAGAAGCCCACGAGAGGCCCACAGAGAGAAAGATCCATTCAGCAGAACAGAACCACGGTTATGATTCAAATATTACACCAAATGGTCGTGCATGTAAACAGCATAACCTGCACGTACTGTCGGGGTTATGCGTCTGCACACGCTCCGCTAAAGCCGCTGCCCCCCCACTACGCTGCAGCGGCTCCTATGCGCTCTACAGGCGCGTTCCTGGTTTCAAAACTCTGCCAATCACTCTTAATAGATTGTCGAAGCATCCCAGCATCAGAAGTCTATTACTGAATCTTACAGACACAAACCACACTGATGGCATGAAGTTAAAGTTAAAACACTCAACGAAGCCCCGTTATTAATGGACATGGCTGAAATCCGGTCATCATAGTCGACAAGCCCAAGTTGTATTGGGGCGCTCGCTCCTTTTGCTTGACGTGCGCTGCCGAGCTTTAATATAGAATCGATTGCTCTTCCTTGGGTTCCCGGATGTTGCGGTTGAATTTTTTGCGGTTGAATTTTTGCGGTTGAATTTTTGCGGTTGAATTTTTTTGCGGTTGAATATTTTAACGTTGAAAAACATTCAGATACAAGATTTTAATGCATAAATATTCAACTGCAAAAAATTCAATCACCTTTCCCTTTCAAAATTCGATGACACAGATTTACTTCCACATGTGCGTGTCAGTGTGTCTGTCTGTGTGTGTGTGCGCGTGTCTGTGTGTCTGCGTGTGTGTGTCTGTGTGTGTCGGTGCGTGTCAGCGCGTGTGTGTGTGTGTGTGTGCGTCCTTGTGTGTCTGTGTGTGTGTGTGTCTGTCAGTGTGTGTGTGTGTGTGTGTGTGTCTGTCAGTGTTTGAGTGTGTGCGTCCGTGTGTGTCTGTGTGTGTCAGTGTGTGTGTGTTTGAGTGTGTGTGTGTGTGTGTGTGTGTGTCTGTCAGTGTTTGAGTGTGTGTGTGTGTGTGTGCGTCCGTGTGTGTCTGTGCGTGTCTGTGTGTGTGTGCGCGTGTCTGTGTGTCTGCGTGTGTGTGTCTGTGTGTGTCGGTGCGTGTCAGCGCGTGTGTGTGTGTGCGTCCGTGTGTGTCTGTGTGTGTGTGTGTCTGTCAGTGTTTGAGTGTGTGTGTGTGTGTGTGTGTGTGTGTCTGTCAGTGTTTGAGTGTGTGTGTGTGTGTGTGCGTCCGTGTGTGTCTGTGCGTGTCTGTGTGTGTGTGCGCGTGTCTGTGTGTCTGCGTGTGTGTGTCTGTGTGTGTCGGTGCGTGTCAGCGCGCGTGTGTGTGTGTGTGTGCGTCCGTGTGTGTCTGTGTGTGTGTGTGTCTGTCAGTGTTTGAGTGTGTGTGTGTGTGTGTGCGTCCGTGTGTGTCTGTGTGTGTCAGTGTGTGTGTGTGTTCCCACTCACCCCTCATGCCGCTGCCGTCGTCGTGGAAGGAGCTGCGATGGAGGCCCGAGCCGCCTCCCAAGCCGGCCTCCTCCAGGTGCTCGCTGCCGCCGCTGCCCGAAGAGGCGATGCTGCTCTGGGGCGAGAGGGGCGCGTGGTCCGGGGCCGGACCCCTGGCGGCCCGCAGGTCCTCCTGGGACAGCCAGACGGGGCCCAGCGGCTGGTTGCTAGGGCCGCTCATGGGAGGCGTGAGCGACACGGAGCGCTTCAGGGGACTGTGCTGCTGGCTGCCGCCTCCACTCGGCGGGGCTGGAAGACGTGGGGGGGGGGGGGGGGGGGGGGGGCGGAGGGGGCGGGGCTTTAATAGCAGTCACGTGACGGTATGTTTATCAGGCTACGACGGATAGGCTGATGGTAACGGGAGCGCCATGAAGAGGAGGTTACACAAAGTTGTATCGGTGCACACATACAAACATTAAGGTAAACCAGACAGACTGTAGGCGGGGGGGGGCTTTAGGGCGGGGCTTTAGGGCGGGGCTTCAGTCAACTTCAGATCAGCCCTCCTGTGTCACTACTAGTTATAAAACCTGTTAATCTATAAACAATTGATTCAGGATGGAAGCCCAGTTGGGTCCTTTCAGGAAAAGGGAGATAAACACGATGAGCAGAGCCAGAGAAGCTTTTAGTGTCGCCACTAAGACGGGGTGAGCTGCCACCAGCCGCCTCCTCCTCCTCCTCCTCCTCCTCCTCCTATATGCGGCCCTCTTACTGCTGCCTCTATCTATAGGACTTCATGGGCCCCGTTTAAAATAGGTGCCCAGCTAACCTTACAAGTTCCAGTCCCTAAATATTAGCCATTCTCCCTAAATACAATCTCCCACAAAGGCTGCCTTACAAGGGGAAGGGTGGGGGGGTACGGGCAGCCCGCCTGCAGCTCAGGGTGGTGAGGCAGGTGGGTGGAGGTGAGGGAGGAGGGGGTCCACAGATGACCACAGTGTGAAGGGATGAGTGGTGGGGGGGGTTCTGGTTTATCAGTTCTGAGGTGTGTGTGAGGGTCTTTCTTTAAATATGTCTTTATTTATAAACCATCAGCTGTTTCTTTCATCTCCAAGAAAGAAATAAAACGCTTGCATTTTTCCTGCTCCGACCAAAGAAACGTTCAATTAAGACGCCCCCCCCATCCTGCCTCCGCAGTCACTGGGGGGTTTTTCTCAGAGTACTTAGTCAAAATATATTTGGGTTTTTGGACACAACAAGACGTCACAGTAGACCTTTAGAAACATTTTAAAGACCACAAAGGCACTTTAATGAAGTAGACGGAGGCCGAGGCACAGAGGGGGGTCTCCTACCTCCACCGGTTCCCACGGCGTTGATGGTTGTCGGCACGGAGGAGGACGGGTAGAGCAGGAGGTGCCCGTTCTCACAGCCCTGCTGCTGCTGCCAGCCCCCCGGCCCCGAGTCCCTGGCGCTCTGCCAGCCGTTGAGCCGGTCGTCCGAGCCGTAGCGCTGGTGGAGGTGCAAGGAGTAGGGGTTGCCCGACGACGAGGTGTTGGTGGAGGAGGAGGAGCCCGAGGAGGGGAGGAATGGAGGGAGGCGTGGACTGCTGGTGGTGGTGGTGGTGCTGCTGCTGCTGCTGCCCCCCAGAGAGAGGAGGCCTCTCCAGCGAGTCTCCCCGAGCCGCCGCCCTCTCCTCCAGGTGGTTGAGCCAGAGCGCCAGGGCGGAGCGGTCCTCCAGCGAGGTGGCAGGGTGGATGAGGGCGTAGGAGAGGAGCTGGCGGGACTCCTCCAGGTGGCGGCCGTGCTCGATGGTGTGCGCCAGGATGCGCGGCAGCAGGCGCATGTACTCGCCTTTGGCCTCCACGTTGCCGGGTTTGAGCAGCGGCAGGTGGGTGAGGACCAGCGAGATGACGCGCTCCTTGGACTCGCCCTGCCACTGGCTGATCAGCCCTGGGGAGGAGAGAGCACACGGTCAGCATCACAGCCCGGACGCCCAGCACGTGACTGTTACAAACGCCAAAAAAAAACCCTGAGTGGAACTCGGCGACCAGCAGAACTGGACCGCCATCTTCGAGTAACGGACGGATTAGTGGAGACAAGAATAGAGGGCGCAGAGATGATGTCATCCTTCCGTCTCACTCCGGCACACATAACCCGGAGGTCATGACGCTCTATTGTTGTCCGAGTCGGGGGGGGGCTCACACCGTGGACAGGGGGCCCGTAGATACCCACTTCCTGCTCAGGACGTGTGAGTTTGACCACTCTTAACCTCGCGGGTGGGAGGGGCGGGGTTTTCTAAATCCGACAAGATGAGGTGAAACCAAAAAATAAATGTGCCCAAAGATATCTCAATGTCACAGTGTGCTTTGTGACGACGTGGAAGAGGACAGCTGCAGCGGACCCGAGGTCACTTTAATGTCAGCCAATGAGAGACGAGGATCCAGTGGCTCCATCCCGCTCACGGCGTCTCACTGTGACTTACTTGGGATGTAAATGTCGTGTTCTTTATATGTTGTTGAGCTCACAGATCCTTTTGCAGCGAATGAAACAGCCACAACCACACCTGAGGGACGTCCGGACAGCCCGCCAATCACAGTAAGCCCCGCCCAAAGCACCCCCTGCACGTGCCAAACGAACACCACGCTGTACTGAAGATGACTTGAAGACGAGCGACGAGGTTCAAATTAAAACAACTGTCAGAAGACGTTGGAAAGGAACACTAGACAAGCGAACGTCACAAACCTGAATACGAATCATCGACGTTAAAAGCAAACCAGGATACTCGATTTGCCCACTTATTTTAAGTTGATTCCAACCAAACGGGCTCTTTTTTTAAAGAAAGAAGAATGAAAGAGGGTGTGTGTGTGGGAGGGAGGGAGGGAGGGAGGCAGGGGGGAGGGGGTTACTCCCCTCTGCTCTGAGGATGATGTCACCCTTCATTCCTCTGAATGAGGTAAACCTCGCATCGTCCGCGTGATTTAAACTCGTCTCTTTCCAGTCGATGGGGAAACCTTTGGACGTAACGCAGAGACCCCGAGAAACACGTTTAGGACGATTTAACGACGTAACGACATCTCAGGACTTGTTTTGAGGATAAGGCCCGACTTTACTTTGACATTAACCTGACTGACTAACCGGCAGCTAGAAGGAACACTCTTTATAGTACATTTGTTACTGAGGTTCTCTAGCAAACACGATATAGATCAATACGCATCTGTAATACTAACAATATAAGTTCCTATAAGATGCTATGAGTGATGACAGACGCTATTTGAGGATAACTGACTGGAATCTTTGTATAAAGGGTGCCTGACGTATGGACCAAGAAGTCAGGAAGCTGCTTCGGGCTCCTTTGACCCCCCTCGGCCCAAAGGTCAGGAGGTCGAGGACTCGGCCCAGGAGAAGTTCACCGCGTGCAGCGACTCTCTCTCTTCAAAGAGGGGTCACAGTAATTGAGCTCAGCACAGGTCAAAGGTCAACTGCAAGGAAAAACATCGTGGCGGCGTGCAACACAAAACGGGCCAGCCGAGCCATGTTTGCACCTGTCAATCACAGCGAGTGTCCACGGTGAAGACGGCACAGTGTCCAAAGTGCTTTCGTGCTATTTGGCTTCCGAGCACAGCGTCAACAAACACATTTAAGTGACGCCTTTAAATTCCAAACGGACACCATGAGAAAGATTTCCCCGTGGTTGTCGCTCTTCTGACCGGAGTAGAAACCACAGGAGGGCGTCACAGCACTGACACAGTACAGATCCAACCCGCTCTGAGTCATGTGGCGGGCTGGCGCCACCCCCCGCCCACCCCCGGCGGCGACCACTGTGCTACCTGGCCCAGGCTCCGCCCCCTCATTGAACGAGGAACGATGTAATGCAGTTTCCACCACGTTGGCGCTTCTGCACTCTGATCTGATCCACGAGGCAGAGTGACTTCACACAATCCAACAGCTGGGGGGGCGGCAACATGATCGTAGAGCGACAGTCGCCATGACAACAGTCTGACTCTCGCTTCATTCACGTTTAGCTTTTATTTTGCTTTACTTTGCATCGGCAACAAATCAGTCTGTGCTGGAAAGATCTGCCTCTAGAACCGCGTCTGCAAGAACGCACAACTCGCACTCTGTCACAATACGGCATATTCATCTAACGGTGCTCATGGGGTTTAACGCGCCGCGTCCTCTTCGCGGTGTGGAAACAATGTGATGGTCGTAGCGCGTTGGTTGTTTGTTAGGGACGTGACTCCTCTGGTTCTAAATATAGACGGCTGACCGGCACACAAGCCCACAACAAGCCGGCTGGCGCAACAGATAAGACCATATCAGCGGTGGACAAGGGGACGCACTAACTCGCAATCGCACACCCAATGTGTGGGTCCATTGGTGTGAGGGGTCAGGGAAAGCTGAGGGGTCGCTGGGGGCCCCCGTCCTCCGGCTGTTAGCAGAACAAACACGGAACGGGCTCACGCTGCTGATCCGACCCCCCCGGACCGAAGCGGGGGGGGGGTCGGGTGGCTTTTTCACATTTTTGCCCAGGGATTAATCAGGGGTCAGGTGTCTTGCTCAGGGACACTTGAGGCAGCCTGGACTCGAACCACCAACCTTGTGCTTCCCAGCACACCTTCTCTAACCCCCGCGCCACAACGACCCATATTTATTAATTATATAAATTAAATGTCTCTGTGAGTGAGGGACTGGGGGGGGGGGGAGGGTTACTTGAGGAGAACGTCTCTGGGTGGAGCGAGGGTGGAGCGCGGGTGGGGGGGGGGGGGAATGTGCTGGCAGACCACAGAGAGCTGCTGCAGAAGAACGCAGGGATTCCTCACGGATCCACGGCCACGAGCTCAGGGCCCCCCCACCCCCCCCCCCCACCGTACGGGGGGGCTACGTCCAACGCAGAGCACCACCCACATCGCAGTGGTTCACCCCAAACACCTCATCTGACTTTGTAACTGCCCCCCCCCACCCTCCCACACACATATTACTCTATTTGTGTCTCTGGGTGCACCGGTGGGTGGAGGTGAAGGTGTTATTCACAGTCGCCACTCAGAAGGAGGACTGAAAGCTGAAGAGATCCCTGCAGATATTTGGCTGGCGTGCGTCGTGAAGGACGCGGGTATTTGTGGGGTAAATACGGAGCGTTCTGCTCTGTAATTGTACACATGAAGAGACTAATTCCGCCGCTTGTGAACTTTGTTTCCGCGCTGTCATCTCGTCGGCTTCAACCTCCTTTGTTGACTCGACACAGAAATAAGAGACGGCAAATAGGCCGAATGTTAGTGAAAGAAGTCAAAAGCAGCAAAAACAGAGATACAATGAGAAAGAAAGAGAAAGAGAAAGAGAAAGGGAGGAGGAAGCAGCAGGTTTCTCTTTGGTACAACTTCCTCCATCTATGTTGACTGAGAGAAGCCAGACAAGTTGTAACAGTCAAACATATCGAGCCACAGAAAAGTGAGCAAGCAAAACAAATCAATGTCGGACACAAAATGTGTAAAATAAATGAAAGACGGGACGAGGAGCTGAAAGCTGCAGAGAAAGAGGTGATGTCCAAAGATGCTACACGACTCCACCTACAGACACACAGACAGACAAGAGACAGACAGAGAGACAGACAGAGAGACAGACAGACACAGACAGAGAGACAGACACAGAAGACAGACAGAGAGACAGACACACAGACAGAGACAGACAGAGACAGACAGACAGACAGAGACAGACAGAGAGACAGACAGAGAGACAGACACAGAGACAGACAGAGACAGACAGAGAGACAGACAGAGAGACAGACAGACACAGACAGAGACAGACAGAGAGACAGACAGAGACAGACAGAGAGACAGACAGAGAGACAGACACAGAGACAGACAGAGACAGACAGAGACAGACAGAGAGCACAGAGACAGACAGGCAGACAGACACAGACACAGAGACAGACAAACAGAGAGACACAGAGACAGACAGACACAGACACAGAGACAGACAGACAGAGAGACACAGAGACAGACATGCAGACAGACACAGAGACAGACAGACAGAGAGACACAGAGACCGACAGACAGACACAGAAACAGAGACAGACAGGCAGACAGACACAGACACAGACAGACAGAGAGACACAGAGACAGACAGAGAGACAGAGAGACAGACAGACACAGACACAGAGACAGACAGACAGAGAGACACAGAGACAGACAGGCAGACAGACAGACACAGAGACAGACAGACAGATTGTCCTGGCAGCACAGGCAAGCAGGCTCCCACAAGCCCAACACAAGTATCGGGGCCCCAAACCTACACATGCACCCAATAAGGGAGGCAGGGGGAGGACTGGACAGGTCTCAACTCGTTGGGGAGGGGGGGAGGTAGGGGAGGGGGGGGGGTAAGGAGAGGCGGAATGATACATGCACTAGATGGTAAAATGGAATGAAAAACCAAGAGAGACCAAGGAAGAGGAGCAAACAGTGTGTGTGTGGGGGGGGGAAGGGGGGGGGATGAGGAGGTGTTTTAAAATGATCCTTTTCCAGACAACCACCGAGGGTCATGTGACATGTGGATAGTTTATACTTCGCAGAGCCTGGAACCCTATTTCATCCAGAGCAGCTCCTAGCCAAAGGCACCGTGAACTGATACTCACGTACCTGACGTGCAAGGGATTGTGGGTCGGAATAGCCCGCTTTGGAAAGAGGCGAAGGACCGTCTGTCAATCAAATACTTCACAGTTCCTTAAGTCCGCTTAGCGAGTGGTGAGATTCGGGAGGTGGAGAATACCCGCCTGTCCATCTGAATGACAGGCAAGCAAAAGCTGCCAATGGGTTAAAAGTGGAACCTGCACCACGATCTCGTCTCCTCAGGAAATACTGTAGTAAAGAGCCCCCCCCCACCCTCCCCCCCCATCTTGTCTTTTTCTGAATGAACGCAGTGAAAAGATCAAGCAGGGTCTCCAGAGATCT